GCCAGGTTTCACAAGCATAGAGCAAAACTGCCCTCACCGTTGCGTTGTAGATCCTACCTTTTACAGCCAGACTAACATCACGAAGACGCCAAAGATGCCTCAGATTGGCATAAGCCGCTCTGGCTTTCACTATACGTGCATTGATCTCATCACTCACGCCACTACCAGCACTTATGCAGCTAGCCAAATACACGAACTTCTCGACTACTTCTATCTGCTCACCATCCAGAGTGAGTAGAGGATTAGAATCCTGCCAGTCTTGTAGAAGTACTTTGCACTTCGAGGGTGCGAAGCACATACCGTACCTACGGACATTGATTGCCAACTGATTAAGTGCGGATTGCATGGCTTGGGCATTCTCGCACAGTAAGACAATATAATCCACATACTCAAGGTCGAGAAGTCTTTCTCCAGGCAACAGATCCACACCACCATTACTTACATCCGCCAGAGCTGTTTCCAGAATGTCATCGATGGCAAAGTTGAAGAGGAATGGTGAGATTGGGCAACCCTGCCTAACCCCACTGCTCGAATTGAACAATGGAGAAAGGTGGTTGTATGCCCTCACTCTGCCTGAGGTGTTTGTGTGTAGGGCTTTTAGGATGTTAATAAACTTCTCAGGCACACCCTTCTTCAATAGACAATCCCAGAGAACAGTTCTGTCCAACGAATCGAAGGCAGCCCTCATGTCAAGAAACACTACGATTGTTGGCCTTTGATAAGTATGGCGGTGTTCTAACACTTGGCGGAGGGTGAAGATATGATCAATACATCCTCGACCAGAACGAAACCCAGCCTGCTCCTCGCGAGTCAATTTTTCTCGGGTTTTGAACAACCCACGAAGTATAACGGAAGCCAAAAGCTTGGACGCAATCGGAAATAGACTTATCCCCCGATAGTTGTTACAGAAACGACGTGAACCCATTTTAAAGATAGGGACAACTATCGACTCATTCCATGACGTTGGTACACACTCTAGTTCCCAGACCTTTGCAAACAACGTCGTCAGTCCCTTAGTCAGAAAGTCACCGCCATCTTGAAAAAGAGCCGGAGGTAAGTCATCTGGGCCCGGTGATTTGTAACGTTTCAAGAGTTGGAGTTCCTTGCGGACTTCCGCCTCATTTGGTGGATCAGTCGTCACCGGCCATGGAGGGCAGGACAGTCTGACCGATGTTGCCGGAGCAGCGGGCTAGTTGAACTACCCTTCGAAGAATTCTGCCCATCGTCCAAGACGTCGATGGATGTTAGTGATTGGCGTTCCGTCATCCTCGCAGATTGTTTCGCTCACACCAGACTTCTTGCTGCCAGTGGCTCGGATGAGTTGGAAGAGCTTCCGGTAATTACCAGATGCAGCTGCTGCTTCCAGCTCATTAGCACGCTCCGATCACCAGGCTTCTCGGTCCTTACGCAAGCTTTGCCCAATTTCAGTATGTAACATCCTTCATCTGTGGTCAAACTCACGGTCACCCGGAGTAGACCGACGGGCTTCAATCAGTTGTAAGGAACCAGAAGAAACCCAGTGCTTGTAAGCGCGACGTTTCGCGAACCCACAACAGACTGTACCCGCCATTTTCATGGCGTCATGCAATTGCAACCAATGCTCATCTATACTTTTCGGTGGAATGGTAGCTAGCCTAGAAGCTAGCTCGGTTCTGTACTTACTAGCAACAGAAGTTGCAACCAGCTTGCTAACGTCAATCCTTTGGTGGCGATCACTTCGTTGTCCACTGAAAAGTAAGGTAAGATTGGCGTAGACCAGGGCATGATCAGATTCCAGATAGATACTCCAAAAGGAGCGGCAGTCTTGTACACAACCACGACAGCGGTAGCTGATCGCGATGTGATCAATCTGAGTCCATGCTTGAGATGCAGAAGGAGGACTCCAGGTGGCATATCGGCGATGACTGTGCCGGAAGTTAGTGCTAGCCAGAAACAGGTTGTGTTCTGTGCATAGCTGCAGTAGACGTTCCCCGTTATCTGTCCTGCGACCAACAAGTCCCCATCAGCCGCCTAAACGACTCTCTTCTATGCCTAGACGCCCGACCTGAGCATTCAAGTCTCCGGCTAGTACTACAATATCTGTCGAACGCACTTTCTGGAGAAGAACAGTTAACTGGTGGTAGAACTCATCCTTGATTGCATCCGGGCTGCAATCTGTCGGGGTATAGGCGGAGATGACGAAAAGACATCGATTCTCACGCCGATTTCTTCTCAGTTTGATGGAACCTTCTAATTTAACGGCACATAACCGACTGTTAATGGGGATCCAGTCGGTGGTAACATACAATTTTCAACCAGGCAGTGACTCCAGAACGTTTAGATAGAGCCGAATGTCCACCATAGACGAGCTGTTGTATAAGTTGAAAAATAAGGATGGACAGAGTGGAAATAAAAGAGAGTGAATAGATGACGTAGTAAATAATAATAATAATAGTTGTGTGAGTCATTTCAGTGTAAATAGGATCGAAAAGAGTATTTTCCATGAGTAAATAGTTCATCATGTTTTAGTGCATAGGCTGTGATACTGCCCGAGTGCCCAAACCGAAGCAGATGGTTTCCTTAGGGGGCCACACCCCGAGCATTCGACCTGAACGTCTGACCCACAAGGCAGTGGAGCATCGTGAGGAGATGCAGTCCCATGGTAGCCGGTGACCAACGATTGGTTCATACGCCATTTGTTCCTTCAGGATACTAGAGCCCATGTGCACCATTGGTTTGGGGTCCGGTTAAAGCGCCGGATATTCGCTTTTCGTCCTCTCATTTTCGTAAACAACAGTAATGCCACGAGAAGGCAGTTAGTAGGACTTCCCTGGCAGAGGCTGTATGCGCGTGGCCGTGTGAGAGTATTTCGAGAGGGAGGGCGAACCCACCACACTCTCCGCCATACCAAAGCATTTGGGGGCCCTCAACATTTAGTATATTATAGGAGATATAAAGCCTATACAAGATAAGAAAGTGAATGAATACTTGAACTTTACTGTTTTGACATATTCTTCGTTGTTTGAGGTCAACTCCTAACCAACCAACATAAGCTCTTACATATTCACGGGACTGGTAAGTCACCAAAAATTTATTCGTAAATATCTCATTAACTCCGTGGTTGCGTAACAAATCATCATAGTGGATAACAACCTCAAGGTTTTTCCTCCAGAATATTAGAAAGCAACACTGAACACCACATATACACCACTATTTTGATGGGTCAACCGTTACCAGTTTAGACGTATCAGATACCATCGTATGTAGAACACTTGAACAGTATCATTTGAATAGTAAGAACTTACTACACACTTTCAGAATATCTGAAGGTTTCCAAATTAGGGTGTAACAAATACGACAGGAAATGCCTAACCGTAGATTGGATTGTACAAGATTACTGACACAATAGGGCAGAAATGTCCACTATTTTAATGTTGTTGTCTGACAAGTACTCTTCTAAATGATTACTTTAGTTAGGCTACATGCCTCGGCTTACTTCCATTACTCGCCATGCTTCCGATACATACAATTTATCCACAGGCAGGATGTCTGGAATATGTTCCCTGAACTGTTTCCAAGGATTCAGCTTGTTGTGTCTGATTGGTTTTAAGATGAAGGCAATGACCTCACTTGTAAATTGTTAGTAATGATCACCAAACCTTGTTACTGAGTCTTTCAGATTTCGTCGTTTATTTCACTTATCCATCTTAGACAACAATGAGGAGCAGAAATTATGAGACAATTATTTTGTCTTAGTGTGTAAGTCCTCAATCTTGATCGACTACAAACAACCAAGGGATAGAAACCTGGTTTTATGGTTAAGCGCTCATATTGTGATCAGATTGTTCCTGGTGTACCGTAGATGCGAGCAGTCGAGAAACTCTATATTAGGACAAATCGAATGCCTGATGCTTTCGTTTAACGTCTAATTAAATAGGTTCGTGAACAGAACTGTGATATCAACTTTGAAATAAAACTTGATTGAAATCGCTATATAAGTTGCCCGTAAGTAGTGACCATGTAATCTATTCGAAACAGTGACGGTGTCAAAACATTTCACAACCAGCGTTGTACAGGTATTCGGGCTACCGTCGAACACACCACACGGTGACATAGCAGACAAGCATCAAATAAAGATATCAAGTGGTGAGCGCGCTTCAGTGTAGTTTAGCACAGTTAATTATAACAAGTCTCTAGGGTCCATTTATGACTTCGACCAGTTGTGAACCAGTTCATCTCAACCTAGCAGTGCACCCGTTAACATGGGGAGGATTTTCCTATCATTTAACACGTGTATTTTACTCGAGACGGTGTTTGGAATCAGTACCTATAGAGAATGGCAGCTGAGACTGCTCCATGAACTTTCATCAAGAGATGGACTAAATACTGCAACAACCCATCAATTATTCTGACTAATTACTGAAGGTAGTTTAAGTGTGGGTCATTTCATCCTCTGACTGATTCCTTAGTAGTGATGTTGCAATGCGACAGCACAGGGTTTTTGTTGATATCAGAAAGTCACTATTTCGGAGATGAATACACCACAGTAAACGGGCTCGTTTTCGATAGTCGTATTAAGGCTTCAAAATGCAAATGTTTCTGTTGGCAAATAAAATAGTCTAAATCATCTAGGACAAGACACTTGAACTCGAAGAAATTGTGGGTAGTACTTAAACTATCAAGATACATAACACAGTTATTATCCCCATCACTATTTGATGAGCCATAATAAGCCTTGTCAGTGGCACAGTGTATTCTCGTGGTCAGTTTAAAATTAATGGAATACGCAAGTACCTCATCAGTAATGCCTTTAAAAATATTCAGGATTCCTGGCTGGTGACTAATTAACTAAACTAGACGGATGTTTTCAATAGCGCTCTCACATCTGCACAATTAATCGAAAGTATCAGTGAAGTGGACTTAAAGACTTGTTGTGGAAAAATAATAATTTCGAATATAGCTTTATATCTTTAATGTCACTTTTGGCTAGGGTCTGAATTGTTTTAACCTTTCAATTGAGCGTCCACTCACCATCTTCTTAAACACCTGCGATGTTGGTGAAGTTTAGTCACTAGTTTGTTTGGTGTAGTAAACCAGATCTTTATCATAACTCAAGATGGGTGAACTAGATCAGCTGCGTCAGGAAACAGAACAGCTGAAAAGTCAAATTAGAGTATGATAAAAAGACTTTTCGGTTTATAATGTACTTCCACATAGGAGGCACGGAGAGTTGCAGCTGATACTACATTACAACAGGCAACGGTTAATGTGGAGTATATCAGTCGTACTCAGTTGCGCAGCAGACGGACATTACGTGGACACTTGGCAAAAATTTATGCTATGCATTGGTGCTCAGATTCCCGAAACTTAGTTTCAGCTTCTCAGGACGGCAAGTTAATAGTGTGGGATGGATATACTACCAACAAAGTGAGTTTTCAAAGTAGAGTGGAAATTTCATCGTGTTATTTTCGTCTTCAATGTGGGATTGAGTTTTCGAAAGCTACACTTGCTTCGTGTAGTATTTTGTAGCATCACCTACTCTCGTCACCACTTAACTTCATAGTTTTATAATCCACAAATTTGGGGAGAGATATCCCGCCAGCCCTTTCGTAGAACAAATCATTCTTATAAACTAGTGTTGCGTTTTACTACTACCACATACTTATTCCTGATAATTTATTGTTCTCTCGACCAGGATACCAAAGCTGCTTTGTAACTTTATTGTACAGTCTAGGTCTACAATTCCTCGTATTTCATAACCATCCCCAAACACCAAGACATGTTTTTACCACCTTGAAAATCACAGGAATGCTTAAAGTTGTACTCCAAAATATTGTCACTGATTATCTTAAAATAGGAATTTCTTGGTGAGTTTTCCGAGTATTTTGTTAGCTTTACGACAAATAAACTTTAGAGTTAGGTGAGGTAGTGCTCACAGTACAGCAAAGAGTTAACTTATCTCATTTACTAGATTCCTCATGTAGATATCTTTGACTTATTTTTGAAAAGGACCCATCCCGAGTTATTTTTATCCAAAAAGCAGTATTATCGGCCGCTGCCGACAGTCATGGGCTCACCGTTTTTGCTTGTAATTCTGACCTAGTTAGACGCTATGGACTGACAGATTCAGTCATTTAGTCTTGATCCCAGAGTCAGTGACAATAACCGGTCTCCTGAGTCCTTTTATTAGAAATTATTTACGAAAAACGAATAGGTTTGCAGGGAATTACTCATTGTGTTAGAGAAAACACTACAGGTCTAAAAGCAAATCCAGTTAACTGTACATCGCTCATGGAAAAAACAACGAAAATTACGAACAAGAGTAAATGTCACACATGGTATTTTTCGTTTTACTGTAGCTTGATGTCTTCATATACACACCGATCTGCTTGACTTTGTAAATGTCAGAAGTCAGTCAGCTACAACGTAGGACCAGGCACATATGTGCATCGGTTCAAGTTGCCATACTTCATTAGCACAGCAAGATGAACACCGGATTCATAGGAGTGGTTAAGTCAATTGTGGTGATATATAAAAGAAAGATTGCATGTAAGGATATAGTTCAGGAAGAAAGAATTAGTTTGTAGAAAGAAAGATTTGAAGTGCTTTTAATCTCTTAATTTAAAGGAAGACAGAGAGTGTATACACCTACGCCATTGTGATCGATTCTGAGCAATGTCACCAAGAGTCTCCAACCATTGGTTACGATAGTCACGCGGACCCCAACCAAGTAGTTTGCATCTACCAACATGGTTCAAACTAGAAGTTAGTGATTTCAAGCACCGATGCCACGTTTTGGTTTGGCCGCCCCTAACTTCCAACCATCCCCAACATCGGTTAGTATTGCACGTCGTAGTAATCGGTGTTTAGGCATACGTAACTCGTGGTCCAACCATCTCAATCGATAAAGATTCACAACTTCACCAACTGATTTACCATCATTCCCTAATACAATGCGTCTAACCTCACTTTTACTTACCCGGTGATCCCAGAAGATGCGAGCAATATTTCTAAGGTATCTGTGGTCAAATACGAGTATCTTCTACTCTTAATGGTCATATTTCTCAGCCGTATAGTAGAACGTAACGAACTGCCGCGCAGTATACTCTTTAATTGATAGACGAATATCTCGCCTTCGCCATAGGTGACGTAAGTTGGCAAAAGCCAAACGTGCTTTTCGAATCCGTGCTGAGATTTCGTTAGATATCAACCCCTTAGGACTGATCAGAATTTTAAGATTAGTGGAGTTGTCGACGCGTTCGACTAATTCACTGTCTATCCTTAGTTCAGGTGTTGATGCAAGCCAGTCCTGAAGCAACAACTTGCATTTAGATGGAGAGAACTTGTAAATGTAATGATGTAATTCTGAGCAATTTTCCAATTTACTATTATTGTTCGAGACATACTTTTAGTTCCAAATTGTGTATTCATTATGAGTAAGTTTCCTGTTTTTAAACTTCAACTTTGTCTTAGAATTAGTGGTGAAATTCCAAAATACACCGATTAACCACATAGGCTACTTCTTTTAAACCATGATTTTCAACAATAACAAATGTAACTATCTTATAATTTCGTACCTTCTGTAATGGGCTGTGCATATTTTATTTCTAATGATGTTTAAGTTTGAGGGTGGATGTTGAGAAAACACTTCGAATGAAATCACACTTTATTCACGATGTTCTGAATGCTCAAAACAAAATTATGTAATATTACACGCAGAGTTTAGTTTAGGTCAATTGAAGAACAAAAGCTTTACGTATTTTGTGGATTCATATCATTGTGCCAATTCGCCATATTTCTTACTTATCCCCTAGTTCCCCTGGGAACCAGGTAACTTGGGGAAGCTTTAGTCTGTGTAGTCAATGTAAAGTAAGATCTTCCCTACTACCCCAGCACTTATAATATACAAAAGCTAGGTTTTCGGGGTTTCCGGAAACCTACAAATGACTATCTTTTACCAGTCGACATAACTAATACCTGGTTCATCAGTTGAATAACCTCTTGTTGATATCCTGTCCCTAACAGTTCGCAAATTTTGACTCAAAATATCTAAAAATATCAGTGGTGCCTTAGAAAAACTCATCCAATTGTTTGATTCTTATCTCCCAGATTAGCTAACATGTAACTTTTATGATTCATGTTTATTTATTTATTCCTTGTTTAAGTAGATATTAAACGCCAACTTTACTCATTTTCATATGTTGATTATTTTAGGTTCATGCCATTCCTTTGAGGAGCAGTTGGGTCATGACATGCGCCTACTCTCCATCCGGAAATTATGTAGCTTGTGGTGGTTTAGACAATATATGCTCAATTTATAGCCTCAAGACTAGAGAAGGTAACGTTCGAGTTAGTCGAGAACTCCCTGGTCATACTGGTTATTTATCATGTTGTCGTTTCGTGAATGATAGTCAGATAGTTACAACTTCAGGTGATGGTACTTGGTAAGTTAATTATTTTCAGGTGACATGTCATACAAATTCTGCTTGACTAAAAGTAACTTGACACTGAAATATTCAGACCTTTTATGGTTTTCATTGTACTAAAAGTGTTCTCAATTGTTTCCTTCGCACTATTTAAAATTGTGTTAATTTTATTCCTGTTACTTATTTACTTTGAAGAAGTGGCTGACATTAAGTCATGAAACGTCAGAAGTACAATTTTCTACTCATTGGGATTTCAAAAAAGTATATTTACTATTATTTTCGGGTTTGTTTAAATACTCGTTTCATAATAAATAAGTCATCGGATAATTAGCTTAGTGTTTACAGTAGTATATTGTGTGTCCGAACCCTTCTACACCTCTGATTTAGATACCTGGTAGTATCGCTAACCTTCAAACCAGCATGAATAAGTCGACTACACAAACTTTATTGATCTTCATTACTTTGTTGTCTTTTTGATTTAAGACTACTTCTCCCCTACCGTTGCTGCTACCTTGACGTGGTAGTCAGGCTTGCTTAACTATCATGGTGAACGAATCGAGCTATACTGGCTGAAACAATCATTCCTCAAGGTCCTACCATGCCAGACAGGTTGGTTGAAGAGCAGTTAGACTAAAAGCAACAAACCCAAGGTCTGAGAGCAGAGTCGTAATGCTGACTGTACAGAAGTGTGACTGCAGTAAGGTGTTTCCCTCAAACAACCAGCATAACGGCGATACTGCCTTCCCACAAAGAGGGTGTGTGTGGTTAGAAAAGGTCGACCCCGAAAATGCGTACCCCACGGGTATCCGTATCCTACAGCAAAGTCTCAACAAGTATGGAGCTAACACGAAAATTACTCACGAAAAGGTCATGTGTGACGGGCCTCAATCAGTTGTCCTTTGGGCACTATGGTCACGTTCTCAGGTCACTAAGATCAACTCTAACCCAGTTTCGCCTCCAGGTACCCTTAGAAGAACCCTTCCACGGTTTGCGCAACAGGGAAGTGATAGCCGCCCTCGTACTTCTAAACAGCACTCAAGACCACTGTATTCATAATCAATTCCTATTATTCCTCCTGCATCGACTAACAACACCATACTTCCTCCTCAAGTGTCATCATGACGAACAATTCTAGTGCGCAAAATACTATCCCAAGATTACTGAAATTTCTCCAAACTACACATTGGAGCCTTCGACGTACGCACCCTATGTCAAATCGGTCGGCAGGCCTTCTTGGCTAAGATCCTAGAATGTGATACGATTGATGTATGCTGTGTCTCAGAAACACGCATAGAAGATCCTGGTGTGGTCATCCACTTGACCTCACCTCGCCAAAACGGGGAGCCGACTAGATACACTCTCCATTTATCTGGCCACCCGACGGCTAGTTCTCGTGAACTGGCGGGTGCAGACATAGCATTAAGTACGAGGGCAGAACAAGCACTAGTAGAATAGATTCCCGTTAACAGTCGCCTATGTGCTATTCGGTTAAACTGCTCCGTAAGAACTTGTAAGGACAGGGACTCACGTCGTTACCTTCTCGTCATTTCTACCTACGCTTCCACTGACTGCAGCCCGGATGAAGTGAAAGATGATTTGTATAGAAAGCTTTCTGAACTTTTTCAAAAGCCAAACACTCAAACCTAGTACTTGTAGCAGGTAGATAGCCTAAACCAAACAGAAAGACATTAAGGTGGATATTTCGGTATTCCGGCTCAACGAACAGATAATGTTGACCGTCTGTTGCAACTATGTTCAGACAATCGTTTATTTTTAACAAGCACTAACTATAAGCATAAGGAGGGACATAGCGACCCTCTGCACCAAACCAACGATGGACTCAAATAGACTATATTGCCATCAGTTATCGTTGGATGGGCTCGATAGAAGACTACCGTTCATTCTGGAGTACATGTTTAGACTCTGATCATATGCCAATACGAGCGCACATTTGCTTGTACCTCACCGGACGCAGAAAAGCCACATTGAAAAGATCCATTAGAGTTGAACTCAACGATGATAAAGCCAAAGATAAATTACAGACACAATTGAAGTCACACTTAGACAATTTCAAGAACGAAGCTGACCCAGATGTTGCTTGGAACAGCTGTGGAAACATGAGCGATATATACTAGCGATTTAAACCATAGGGCTACGAGAAACCAGTGGATTTCTGCGACATCTATTGCACTGATAGACTCTCGTAAACTTATCCCACCAGGCTACGAACACGATGAAAAGCGAAGACAAATCAGATCTTGGTTAACCAAAAGTCGACGGAACGATCATGAGCAGTGATGGGCCACAAAAGAAGACATGGATAAGGCATTGGCTGTAGGCAACACAAGACGGCTTTTCAGTCTAATAAACGAGACTGGAATTAAGAAGTGAAGTGTGAGACAATCTGGGAAAAGATGTTACTCTAATCTGCTCGCATTTGAACTTCGCTGAACCTAATCGTACTTGGGGAAACGGGTTACATCATTAGTTCTCACACCTAATGTAGTTCATTTACAATTACCTAGCGAATGAGTTATTTTATTTATCATTTTGAATACAGTATGATATGACATTCTTTATGAAAATGTTACTACATTTTCTGTGTTGCTATTTCTGGATACCTAACTGTGTCGGAATTTCCACTGCTAATATTTAGATAAATAGTACTACAAGACGTGCTTCTAACAACTAAAATCTGCTTAAGCACTCTGAAAGTGCTTCCAATATTAGAACAACACATATAAGCGAAAAATTGTTTTCAATTAAATCGTAATCAGCCTTACTCTTATATAAATGAATATTTATACAAAAATGTTAAACTAATCAAGGCAATTTGAGTCAATGATTACAATGAAATAGAATACGTCATCGCACAAAATAGGTAAAAGGACAAGCTTATAGTAGTAAGACAGGTGTACTGATAGTAGTGAGAATAATAAAATACGATAACAAAAGTCTTGTCAATAGTTAAACATTGGAAATAGAAGGTCAAACGTGTGTAAATAGACCTAAAATAATCATCACAAAACATTAAGATCATTAACGTAATACCGCCAAATACGGCTTTTTTTAATTTAATTTTTGTTATCATTATTTTCACATCATATATTTGTTTATAATTTTCCGCCTCTTTCCGTTTACATTCTTCACTATCTAATTATTTACACACTTTTGTTATCGTATTTTATTATTCTCACTACTATCAGTACACCTGTCTTACTACTATAAGCTTGTCCTTTTACCTATTTTGTGCGATGACGTATTCTATTTCATTGTAATCATTGACTCAAATTGCCTTGATTAGTTTAACATTTTTGTATAAATATTCATTTATATAAGAGTAAAGCCTGATTACGATTTAATTGAAAACAATTGTTCGCTTATATGTATTCCAATTTTCACAATGGGAAGCTTCCAATATTGATTTATTGTAGCAAATCAGATATATATTTGATGGGAGTTGGAATTATATCTGGTTTGATATTTTAAAAGATTTCTGTGTTTATTTTCTAAGAGTATCATTCCTGTATTAAATGAACTTCAGTTATTATTTGTAAAATCTTTGGAATCGCTTTCGTTATGTGGTTAATAGTTAGGTTAAATCTCCTAGTTATTAGAAAACTTACTATTGAGCACTTTTAAATGCATATTACGGAATGGTGGAAAATGGCTTTATTTCTTAGTGAGAACTCACAGGCAGCAATTTTTGTATACTATTTAGTGTTACTATCTGGGTATTAGTTTTTTTTTATACCTCAAATGGTACATATCTTTGCTTATTTGAGATTTCGCTTCGCATTTATTACAAAAACTGAATTTTGTGCTACTTCACATTTTATAATAGTATCGTTGAAGTTACATGTCACTTAAGCGTATTCAGTTACAAAATTTACGGTAGTTTTTCCTCATTTATTTATTGCATTCTAGCGCTCTTTGGGATATCGAGACAGGTCAACAAATCGCCTCATTTACAGGGCACACGGGCGATGTAATGAGCTTAAGTTTAGCACCTAATCTCCAAACATTTATTTCGGGTGCATGTGATGCTTCTGCAAAGGTTAGTGTTATTTATTTTCCATAACCAAAAAATTGTATAAATTGACGTTAAGTGATAGCGTGACATGTTTTACACTGTTTGCCTAGTTGTTGAAACAATTCGTTAATTTATTAAAATTTCTCCTGCTAAACTTGTCAAAAGTAGTGAAACCTGATCTCCCAGTTTATATTTTTTAGTAATATTGTTTCTGTATGGGAGTTTCATGTTGCTTATGCATACTGGATTGTATATACTTTATAAGCTATGCTAGATAACTGTCTATTTAGTTATTTCTAAACTATATGTCTTGCTTTGTCTATGTTAACCCCTGCTAATTTATGAGGTAATATTTCGTCTCGCCTCAGTTAAATGGACCTGGTGTAAGTACTTCATAAATTAAGATCAATAGAATTTGGCTCTAGTTGGTTGTTATAGCCCACAGTGTCTACTGGGAGTCTTTCAATGAAAAGTTTTTAGTTTGGCTGCATAATTTTACTTTGTAGGAAGTTCGGTATAAAAACGCTTGCTCTGGGTATTGATTTTCGAGTCATACGAAAATGTCATACACTTACTCTTGAGACTAATCCGCATATAATCATATTTTATGTTATCATAAAAAGAGGCTTTTCGTGATATAATCTATAACTATTGTGTGCATATTTGTAATAATTTTCATGAGCTAATCGTGGGCGCAAAATTCATTTATGTTCAAAGTACAAAATACTTCATTTTGCCTGCGAATTCAATTAATAACTTTATTTTGTATGATAATAATAAATTACTAAATGATTGGGGTATTTATTAATTTTTACATACAATAAACCAGATTAGTAGAGTGGACTTTTCAGTTGGTTCGAAAGTTTCTACTTCAAGCCAAATCGAAGAAATATACGTTAACAAGTATTCTTGTTTTTAAGGTATATCGTATTCTGTTGATAAAAACCCATTGTGGTTAGATAGTTAACAGTATGAGCAGGCAGTTGAGTGGCTTTGTATGATAGCGGTATTAGTTACATTAAACATGGTTAGATGCCGTAGACCTTTGGGGTTTAACTGTCTTTTGGTAATATTTCTGATTGTGACAGGTTCAAATTACATGCGGAACACCATTTCCTTCAGGATTACAGGTACACTGTTCGGTGATATCTAAACAAATAAATATAGCGCGGTGTAGTAAGTTCTTACTATTCAAATGATACTGTTCAAGTGTTCTACATACGATGGTATCTGATACGTCTAAACTGGTAACGGTTGACCCATCAAAATAGTGGTGTATATGTGGTGTTCAGTGTTGCTTTCTAATATTCTGGAGGAAAAACCTTGAGGTTGTTATCCACTATGATGATTTGTTACGCAACCACGGAGTTAATGAGATATTTACGAATAAATTTTTGGTGACTTACCAGTCCCGTGAATATGTAAGAGCTTATGTTGGTTGGTTAGGAGTTGACCTCAAACAACGAAGAATATGTCAAAACAGTAAAGTTCAAGTATTCATTCACTTTCTTATCTTGTATAGGCTTTATATCTCCTATAATATACTAAATGTTGAGGGCCCCCAAATGCTTTGGTATGGCGGAGAGTGTGGTGGGTTCGCCCTCCCTCTCGAAATACTCTCACACGGCCACGCGCATACAGCCTCTGCCAGGGAAGTCCTACTAACTGCCTTCTCGTGGCATTACTGTTGTTTACGAAAATGAGAGGACGAAAAGCGAATATCCGGCGCTTTAACCGGACCCCAAACCAATGGTGCACATGGGCTCCAGTATCCTGAAGGAACAAATGGCGTATGAACCAATCGTTGGTCACCGGCTACCATGGGACTGCATCTCCTCACGATGCTCCACTGCCTTGTGGGTCAGACGTTCAGGTCGAATGCTCGGGGTGTGGCCCCCTAAGGAAACCATCTGCTTCGGTTTGGGCACCCGGGCAGTATCACAGCCCTCACATATATCAAATGAGATTTATGTGGCGCATATGTATTTGGTGCCTCCTTGTACCAATACCTATGTGTTAAAATAAATAAATATCAAAAATTAAGAATATTTGAGCGAACAATTGTTTTCAATAACTTCATCATCAGATATTCTTAATTTTTGAATATTCTATGGGGATTTTTAAACTGCTGAAATAAATATCAATTAATTAATTAGCGTTAATTATGATATTTCTTGTTGGGAAATCTCCCCAACTCAAAAGAATCGAAGATGATTTAAGGATTAAAATAAGGATTGACGAACAGGCAAAGAAAAGTAAACAAGTAGGACAAGATAAGTATCATTACCAAAGTTGGACTTGATAATTTCGAATAAATTAAGCATATGGTAGATCGTTATAAATAAATAATATATTTGTAATATCCCAATTACAAGAGCTCCATACAGTTATAAAACAAAAGACTAAGTGATTGGGACTAAACCTCACAACTGTCTGGGTCATTTATAAGTTAATAGTAACCAGCCATAATAAAAATCAAATTCAATATAAAGTAAAGGTTTAGAATAATGTTGATGAGTCATGGATAAAGAGCATCGGTGACAAGTGAAGGAATAATTACAATAGTGCGATGAAGGATAGAGATTGAGAGATGCAACATATGTATTCTAAATTGTAAGACAAAGCATATTCAACATATGGCTCGTTAAAAGCTGCCAACTAGCTCAAGTTGTGATACCTTTTATAGGTTACTGTATCTTTTTCTACGAATTCAATTGATGGATGATTGTCTTTTGAATTTTTAAGAGAACTTTTGCCATAAGAACTGTTTCTTTTTAAGATAAAACGCTGCTTAGTTTTGGCAATTAAAGTGATTTTTAATAGACTTGTCATAAAGCAGTTAAGTTGTAAAGGTAGGGTACTCAGTTCAATTGCTTCAATAAACTTCACTATTCTATCGGTAGTAGATAATGAATACACATGTAAGGGATTCTTTTAAGCAGTAGTTTTGGAAGCATAGCGACTATGTGTTAGGAATAAACAACTTTTAAAAGGATAGAAATAGCTTTATTACCATTTTTACATGATATGTTCGTACTGGTATACTCGATTAATTCAATATATATATATATATATATATATATATAATTCTGAGAATTTCGGCAACTTGCTTGGACCATCACTCAGCATCTTGTGGTATGTCTTAACTTACGTCAGGAAAACTGATGTTTGTGTTTTTTAGATAAATCATAAGCCATCGTGTGTTCATATTTAGTTGGTTAGATTTTTATCTATTTGTGTAAATGTCAGTCGAACTTTTCACCTTGCAAACATTTGTTTTAGTATCAGTTCGCCGAATTTGCCTAAATATTAAGTAAACAATTACTTTGTTTACTCTAATTATTTATTGAATTAAAGCTTATGGATCACATTTACTTTTTTCAGCTGTGGGATTTAAGAGATGGCCAATGTAAGCAAACGTTTCCTGGCCATGAATCTGATATCAATGCTATTATCTATTTTCCGAACGGTATGTCATTCGCAACAGGTAGCGATGATGCTACTTGTCGCCTATTTGATATACGTTCTGATCAAGAAGTTGGAATGTATAGCCATGATAATATTATATGTGGTATCACAAGTGTAGCTTTTAGCAAAAGTGGTCGACTTCTACTCGGTGGATACGATGATTTTAACTGCAATATTTGGGACACATTGAAACAGGAACGTTGTGGTGAGTCACTATGCTTTCTTTGTGTTACTTTTACAAATGTTTTTTTAAAATCTAATCAATTCGGGATTTATTTTCAGTGATAATGAAATATTGGTTACTTTCACAAATGTTTTGTTTATTGCATGAGAGTATCTGAATGATATGCTTGCATTTAAGTGTAATGTCTTCATTATCTTGTTATTATTTTGAAATATGTCTGTTCTGATTATCATATTCACTTGACATAATTTGATAGAAAATAAGGTTTATGATATTTTTAACACCAAGTCTTACCAATAAAGTTCTTTTGTTAGACTACACCATGTTATTATGCATCTAATGTCTTTTCTGTGACTTCGTTCATTTAATGGGTATTTACCTTTACCTTACCTCTTCGAATAACTTCTCTAAAACCTTAGTTGTTTTAGGATATAGTTAAACATTCTATGCATTTCTTTATAAATCACATCACTTGTGCTGCTGTACTGTTACACAAATTGTGTGTCTAGTTTTACAATAGTGGGGATAAAAGTTAAACTACATTTTTGCGCCCTTTTAGGTCACTATACCCTTAGCTTTGTAGTTATAATCTTATTTTTATCCCTAATCGTCCTGAGTTATTTCTTCGTCTTCAACAATATCATCAATGTTGTATACTATTATTTATTTTGAGTATTGTTGTATTTCTTTAGAGAAAGCTTTAAATTAAACATTGCAACCATATATTTAAAGATTCTTGTTATTGTATTACTTCCGTGTATGAAATAAAACCCATCTTTTTACATTTTAGGCGTCCTAGCGGGTCATGATAACCGCGTTTCCTGTCTCGGTGTTTCTGAAGATGGAATGGCAGTATGTACGGGGTCGTGGGATAGCTTTCTAAGAATATGGAATTAAATAACATTTCGACGAAACAATACTGGCACAACTGTTTCAATATAAATACAACCAATTGTCCACAATTTCAACACAGTATAAGTTCTTATTTATTTTCTTTGCATAAACTTTCTTTCGCCTGTTATTAATGGTTTTGGGTGTATTTTCCTGAAATTATCTACCTACAGCTTTATTTTCAATATATTTCCTCGAAAAATAGGTTAACTTCATTAAAAGAATTATTTAAACTGAACGTTGTTCTAAAACTTCCTTCCTGTTATAACTAGTATGAACTTAAAGCATTTCTTTGCTCCTACTTATGACTCATTACCTATTTTAATTGTATGATTCATTCGTTTGTTCGTTGAGACTACTGTTTGTTGTTGTTGATATTATTATTTTCTCCTACACTCCGAGTTATTGCGCCAAATACACGCTTTTGTTGCGCATATTATTTTTTATTTTGCAAATGACGGATGCTTTTTTATGGTCCTGCTCCCTCCTTGTAAAGCTGACTTATGCCTATTTTTCTGGTTTGTTTATTTAATTTGGCTTTTTGTATATTTATGAAACTAGTCATTTCTTATTCCCCGTTTATACATATGCATAAAATGTCCTTTGGATTATAATATGCCTTCATGTTTCAATGTTTCTTTTTATTTTAATCAGTTTATCTTAGGAATACAATTGGAATTTCTTTGAGTGTTATTTTCCAAAATTATTTGTAATTAAATAATTACTTGGTGTGTTTAGATAACACTTGTTGCTTTTCATAAATTGGTATTTTAAGGTCTTACTTTATTCAGTGAGTTATTTGGTTTGTGATAACTGTGGACACTGATCATAGGAGACATTTTAGTTATTTAACTAAGTCATGTCTATTGTTATGTTAAAACTAGGATACCATTAGTTTAAATCGTGGCAACTTTTCCTATCGAACTCTCGCTGCAGTCTTTCTATTCGGTTGAGTATTGCTAATTACGTACGAGTCATAGTTGGTCCGTTACAAGGTTCGGTATTGCTCAGATTTGTAGATTCACAGTACAATAAGCCATCAACAATTTGATTTTATTGCTATCATCCGACTAGTTCACGCTACATTACTGATGCACCAGCATTCGCTAACACTTCGAACTACTTATATTTCATTGTTTATTTAGTCATAATTAATGTAATGGGGTGTACGTCGGTTAGTAAGCGGACTAAATGTTCGCATCCGGGTCCCGTAGATTGATGGGAAACCAACAGCATAACAACCCTGCAAACATTGAGTTTTTCGTGTTCTCTGTGTCGGTGTATCTTGCTTTATGGAGCAACTGATTTTCTCGACCTACTATTTTGTCTTGATATCAATCCACTGAATGGTTCCTAGATCAATAGTTCAGATTTTGTGGAAAGTCATCTGTCAGACATGCGGTTTATATTCATCCAGGTGATTAGTCATGCAACAAACAATCCATACAATATTGCCAATACAATATTGTCAAGACAGTTATTGTATGGGGCTGAGAACTACGAAAGCCATCATCCACATGATGTAAGTGTTTATTAACTGTTGTCCACGCAAAATACTTCGGATCCGTTGACCAGACATCAGTAACAACCTACTATGGGAGAGAACAAACGAAATCTCAGCGGATGAAGAAGCGCTGAAGGTGGATAGGACACACATTAATGAAAGCACTCAAATGCGTCGCAAGGTAATCCCTCACATGGAATCCTCAAGCTTAAATAAGAGGAGGAAGACTAAATAACACACCACGCCAAGAAATGGAGATAGACATGAGAAGGAACAATTGGACAGAAGTAGAAATGAAGGCCCAGGACAGAGTGGGCTGAGGAATGCTGGTCTGTGTCCTATGTTCCACTGGGAGTAACAGACGTAAGTAAGTATTATATTATGAAGTGTGTGCTAATGGTTCTCCGACCATTGGAAAATTTAGTTCGGTTACGGTGACGACTTACGGAAATACCTGTAACGACAAATAAATCCCCAAGATCAATAGCTCTGTAAATCTTCGACATTGAATACTGACCGCATTAGTTTTAATGGACTCACCTGGCTGTATGCGCTCGGTCACGTATCCGCACCAGATCACTGGATGGAACGCCGTGCTCAACTTCTGCAATCGCTAGCCAGTTTAGATCTGTCGATTCTCGATATATTTATAGCCAATCAAATACATCCTCGAACCTCCTGGCTTCTGACTTGACTTCACTGGGTGGGCACGATTCATTGTAGGAGGTGTTGCTGGTTACAGTTACAAATACCTGTGCATCTTCGTACCCAATCCAGCCTAAGTATTCGCCTTTAAAGAAAATAAGAATATTTCTCAGACGATCGGATACAACAATTAGGCTATACTCATAGATTAAGAATTGGGCTGTGAAGAACAATCCGATTTGAACAAGATTTTAGGTCCCGGACATCGAGAGATCTTAAATGATACGGACTCTCCACACCCTTGACCGTAGCAGAGCACTTAGAGACTACGCATCCTTCGCAACAACTAGCCAGCTTAGACCACACACTAATGAAGATGCCAACTATCTTCCAAATATGTCCTCGAACTCCCGCATTCCTGGTTTGATTGTTTGGGATCATTCGATTATGAAGGTGTTACAGATAGAAGCATCGTTAAGCCTTGGATATCCATGAATTTTTATGTTGAACTTCAAGTGATCAGGTAGACCAAATGACAAACTGTGAGTCTGATCCTTGTTGTAATGTGTATATATGTGCATTAACATATTGTGATATATTTTTATTTTCGGATGTCTTGCATATTTTTTATATTTTATTTTGATTATATAGGAACACATTCAAAATGTTCAAGATTAGGACTCTTGCCCACCTAACTATTCAACTCATGTCTTTCTGGCTTAATCATATCAAAGGTTGGTTTCGTTATCCAGAAGCTGACTTGGATAAGCAGTTTGACGGACCAACGTGCGCAATTCTTCGTAGTCGTGAGGGATTAATGCACAAGTTCAACAAGCACTTTTCACCTAGTTTATTTACAAGTGATGCTTCTAAAACCTGTGACCCTTTAAAGTGATCTTTACTTAAATGTGCATATCTAAAAAACTGAAAAAGGTAAGACCAACAACTCCACAATATCAAATTGCAACACAACTGAGCAACAGAAATGTTGCTATGTACAAGAGAGGTTAAAGGTCATCGGATATTGAATGGAGGCCTTTTTTGCAGTTACTCCTATCTAGGATAACCCAATGCGAAAAAGCGCTTTTAATATCATTTCAAAACAAGGCCGTACACAAACTGGCTGCGTCAAGCAGTCATAGTTCCTAGGTCACTGAAACCCCCATCATCGAGGTTCGTTTTATTAAAAAGCCGCAGGCGGTACATAGCGAAATTAAAGATCTCTACAATTTCAGTTTAAAAAAAATGCTACATGGGCCTTTTAGAGATTCATCAAAGACGCATTCAGGGGTATTATTTTCATGCACGATTATGTTGATGGCTGCTTGATAGCACGTTTGAACAGGCGACCTCATCTCCAGAATCTGGACTTTGTTTTCCAACAACTCCGAAGACATCGCATTGCTATAAACATTCGGAAACGTTAAGTCAGAACTGATTTCATTTATTTGCTCGGTCACACCATCGACACCCAATGTGTATGTTCTCTGTAAAGTAAAGCGGTGGCCATTCTGGATTACCCAGTTCAACAATTACGCACTTTAAAAGCCTGGAAATCCTTGACAACTTGTAGACAACTTTCAGTGTACTTCTGCTTCACAACGTATATAGGAGGCAAACAATGGAGTTGAAAAGGGCTTGAATAATTCTCTTGAATATTTTTCAAAGGACTTACACTTTCAAACGTGTCCAGCTTCAGAATATACACACTGATCTTCAGCTTGAGTTCTCTTCAGCAATCCCAAAACTGAGAACCAAACAGATAGGCAGAGGTTAGAAAACTAAACTTAAAGACACATTTAAAGATTGGGAGCGCCCAGTCATACCAAAACACTAATGAAACATTGTCTTCAGCACATTGCACAGACATTCGTATCCTGTTGTTCGGGTAACCATGAACTCATAGCAGAACAATTCAGAAAATAGGGAGTATGTTGACTTTTCCCTAAAGCGGATAATTTATCGTTTGACGTTGGACATACCATATGCCCGAGGACAAATACCCCAAGCTTAATTGGGGGTGTGCAGCCAATGCACAACTCTATTGTAGTGACGTAAGGTCCTAATCACACAATCTTCAAAGCTAAACGGTATACAACTGGGAAAATAGATATTCAACATTTAACGCGAGATAAACCCGACGATTGAGAAGGCGGTAGGAAGGAACTAAATTATTTCGAATTGATTGGATGGCATGGCTCGGCCTTGCAGATGTCGTCATTTTTTATTGTTGTTATGTATCTTTTACTCATACTAAATATATTGTTCTATCTCTAGCATAATTATGTTCTTCATCATATATTGGTGATTGTTACGATACGATGAGTCGGGGTAGATAATAGTGTGATTTCCACGTCAGATCTTACAGATTAGGCAGTTACATCATGACAAACCATTAATTTGAGGATTAATTCAGTTTATGTAGCGGTATCAATAATGAAGTAGACCAAAATTCTACAACTTCTTCAGCTACAAAATCCAGGACAAATTTGGCTTTAATGAGCTGATCGAAATTTTTTCATTGTAATGGGCCTATATATGCGTTAGGGATGTTAATTTCGGCAAGAGAGTTTTATTACTGACGGATATCGATGCTATAGCGACTAGTTTAATGATGGCTTAGGTATTCCGAGTTTAACAACACCTTGACACGTAAGATCTTTATGGTTGAAATATACCAACTTAGTCAAATAAAAGAGGTTCCAAGATATCTTTGAAAGGTTATCAATATATCGGGATGCATTTAATCTAAGCTCTCTAATGGTTGTAAGATATGCGTGGCACGGTGTACCCACTCGACATGTTGTGGATGCGTAACCGAGCACATTCAAATAGATCTGCCCATTAAAAGTAGTGAGGTCTGAATCAAATATTGAGGACATATGGAACTATTTATTTTGGGTATTTATTTACGGATGCAAGTTCTTTAATATGAACCTGAGTACTATATCATTAGTAAGAATGATAGTCAAATTTGGTGAGCCAACCCTTTTTCTGTTAACCTATTTTTTAATTGTGCATCACGCGGCTCCGACGCTGCCGAACATAGCAAAATATCTGAGTGTATACCAACAGTAAGCTGGTTGTTCTTAAACTTCTGACTGGTTTCGTTATAGGGTCATAACTCTTCTACTGTTAAGGAGGAGGTGGATAAATCCTCAAAACAAATAAGTTTTTAAATATTTTCGACAGTGTTTCTGTCCTCGTCAATTTTACTGGATACACCCTAGCTGGACAAAAGTACTATTTCTTTGTCAGAAGGATTTATTCAGACTTATTTGATGGATGAAAGCTTGTTCTTAAAGGTGAAGGTAGTATACAGACGAATCTATCCAGGTTTTAGATGCATTAACACTAATCATACATCTTTACTTTTAAGGTATAATACTGTTCAACATGAACGAATGCCAGTTACGAATTTAATAACAGTACCTTCAACTTCCACCATCAGAAGAAGTAGAACAACTGAAATCTCGTTTTTTTAAACTTCTGGATTATAGAAAGACTTTTAATGCATTGGTGGTCAACTGGTCTTAAATTTATGTCTAGCTATGACCAACTGTCTGTAAAATCAACACAAAACATTCAAAAACCGAAGTCAAACAACGTCACTTTAAGATTTATCTGCTTTCAAACCTTATTATCACCTAGTTATTTAATCCCAAAGTTACGAACCAAAGCTCTGGCTGAACATTTGTTTATTGTAACATTGAATGATAAAATTAGTTAAAATGAACCGAAATTCTGCGTCGTCATATGCTGTGTAATAAAACGCTTTTAAAATGAGACATGATGTTATTGGTGTGTTGAGAAATCCATTGTTTGCGTATTACAATATATTTGACCCTGAAAATATAGCACAGTTTGCGGCTATTGCTCCAGCTCCATCCAAAGATTTTTACCATCTATTAATAACATCAACTAAAGTTAGTAGTGACAAATCAGTTTTACTTTTATTTGATTAACTTATCGTTAAATATCGACAATACATTGCATGAATACGATGCAGAATGTTGCGAATGTGTTCTTTTTATGTTTAAATTTTCAAAACTTTCAGTGGGTTGCTCATGTAACGTTATATTTCCTCAAAATTTTCTATAGCGACTTCCTTAAAATAGGTCAAATTTTACTCGAAATCGGGAGATTTGGTTATTTAACCTCAACACCATGAAACTTTATCTTTTATTACTTTTTGTCATAAAAGTGCAATCGGTAAAGTTTGGTGTGGTCTTGAAAACGTCACGAGCTACCAACTTGGGGGAAATTTTTGAAATTTCGGGGAAATCCTCAAAGTCGAATGACCTTTACCAAGGGTAAAAGGGAATTTCGGGGAAATATTTGGGAATTTTCTAAGATTTGTGGAAATTTTGGGGTTTTGTGCCTTTTTATCAGAATTTCCCCGAAATGTGCCAAATTTTCCCCAAAATTGGGAACTTGGGGTATCACAAATCATCCCGAGCTGCCGATTTTGGGGAAAATTTGGCACATTTCAGGAAAGCCGCTATAGTAAACTTTTGGAAAATTTTGGGGCTATGGCACAAAACCCTGGGAGAAATCCCCCAATATTTCCTCGAAATTCCACTTTAACCGTGGTCAGGGTCATTTGACTTTAGGTATTTCCCCCAAATTTGCTCAAAATTTCCCAAATCATTGGTGAAGTTCATTTGACTTCGAGATTTTCCACAAAATAACTCAAAATTACCCCAAGATTTTCCCAAAGTTCATAGAATAAACGCAGTTGTTTGAACTTGACAATACTCAATTTTGTATTTATTGGATGAATACGTAATCAACTTACTTAGTTCTGAGTGAGAAATTTTACTTGATTTAAATTCGGATTTTCGTACCACTATATCTATGGCTTGATTTTTCACAAAGAAAAATTTTCTTCCGAGATTTCATCAGGTTATATTAGAATAGTGAGATGTAAGCTCAAACTATTATATTGTTCTTGTACGTTATTCGGCAAGCATTTCTTTGGCTTTAGTGAAAAGTGAACAAGAACGCTTTCTTAAAGATTCTTGTGTCTCAAAAGGTAGAGATAGTAACCCAGACGTTCTAGAGGACTTAAAGAAATAGTTGCATTTGTAGTGTAATTACAGTTGTTTTGTATAAGGTTCATTACTAATGTAAGTCATCAAAACTTATACAGCGAGTTTCAAAACTTCATCTCCTGAGATGACGGAATGGTATTCAGCCCCTTCAAAAATAAAGCGACTTGCAAAAATGCAATGTACCTTGACAAACTGTTGTAATACTGTCGTGCTAATACGCACACTTCCTATATTATAATTATAAGTTAATATCGTTTCATATTTGCATATTTAGAGAGATTAAAACCTCGAATACATGCCCATTTGCCGTTGAAATTTATTAGGTTTGTTCTCACGAAACAATTGTAAAATGTTTTCATCGTTTCACTTTACTAAAAATTCATAGTATAGGCTTTTTATAGTTGCTATTTTAACTTGTATCACAAAACCAAGGTAGAAAACTAAAGTAATAACCGGATGAAACTATTAACCGTAAATTTATAAGAGTTCATTATGCTGGCATAAAAGTTTACGACCTTGAGTAAGTTCAAATTTTGATACATTGTTGCTCAACTACTTAACTTCATTAGTTAATTGTCTACTTCTAAGGTTTATTATACATCCTAGCTTTAAAACTACGGCAAGTAGAATAATCGTCTCTTGTTTTGCTAGCTTTAGTTATATTATCTTTTTATTTGTTTGCTCTCTGAATAATTGTCATTTTTTCATTTAATTGTCTCCCGTTTGTCAGTTCTCAATTTTTAGGTTGTTAAAATAAATAAAAGATAAAATGAATAAGCTTTCGCAGAGAATTCTTTCTTAACCTATATTTTCATGTTTTATAGTTCAGACTGAAGGAGAGTATACTGATTTGTCTATTAGTGGACTGAGAGACAGATTCAATTAATACTTTTAGTGTTTTCATATTTTGAAAGATTGTATACGTTTTCACATGAATTTGACGGGTGTTTAGTGGCTCGAGATCTGACTCTACGTAGATCGTTTGCTGTATGTTATCAAAATGTAAATGTCGCCAATTCTCGTATATAATCATTTACTTAAATCGAGTTAGTAAATAACGGAATTAAATAAATCAAATACGAGAATGGATTTTTGAATACGTACATTTTGTGCAATCGTTGATAGGCAAAGACAATCAGAGAATCGCAGCAAAAGAAGCAAATAGGAGAAGGCGTGTGAGCCAAATCGATTTAACTAAGCTTGAATCGATATTTATAGTGAGACAAAAATAACTTACAGATATTTGATGAGTAAGATAAGGAATAAACACACATACACTTACATAAAAACAGTCAAAGTTAATAAACAAATAAGTAACAAGGTCGAAATGTGACTCGAGAAGAATAGATAAACTGACCTGTCCAGCAACCGACGCTACAGGTGTACTGTACTTCGTACAATATAAATTAAGTATTGGTTTATTTACTAGTGTGCTAAATCGTGCTTTGAATTCTTAAGACTCATACTTAATATCAATTACCTGTTGCTTTTAGCTGTGAAGCCAATTGTATATATTATAGCCAGAATTTACAAAAAGTATAAGGCAACTTATTTAAAAACGTCAGGCTACAAAAGCCACAAGTAATTTCATAGAAGCTCATTTATTTATTCATTACCATAATGAAGGTACTGTTACCCTTTGTCTTCGCCCGTATTATATCTTAAATCATTTAGTCTCAAGCTTTTACTATCGTCGCCGTTATATAGTGCAATAGTATGACGTTTTTGTCATGCTTTTCAAAGTATAGAGTCTTTGATCTATCATATATAGCATTTGAATATTAAATAATTTATCACAAGCGTCCTTTTGTACCACAATTATCTCAAGTATATATTCTTCCTACCTATGTAAACATTGAGTAGCACTCTGAGTTTAAAGAAAATTAACATAAACTTGTTGTTGGAAACTAAAGTAGTGGAAACTGACAACAAGAAAAGTTTTTGACAGCATCATAGAGAAAAAGTAGATATTGACAAGTTTCATAAATCAGTCAATTTTAGTTTTACTTAACTGTTTTAAGTGTGCTTCGTAAATGACAATGAAGTCAGTTATTGCGTAATATGTGTATGAAGTTAAAACATTCTCCAAAAAAATTAAAATTGTTCTTTTTTTCAAGTTCAAATTGAGATGGTGGAAGATTACATCAAGGAATGATGGGGCAAAGTTTCATCCAGGTGAAAGTATAGCGAATTATGAGGAATTTGAACAAGACGATCGTATGCATAGTAAGTTGGTTTGTTAGTTTAAAGAACGGAAATTATGATTGTAATGACTTTAGTGGTCATTCTACTTAATGTTAAACGTTTGTTAATATTATGCTAGATTTTACGTTAGTAAATCAGGGACTTATAGGAAGATGTACTAGAGTTCACCAAGTTAAATCAATTTGTTTCTTAGGCTAGCAAAGTTTAGGGTGGCTTGTCAATTAGAAATGAAATGATGAAATTCTTAGATAAAAACCGAAACTAACTTAAGAGCTATTCGTAAAAACCATGTCTACATCTGCCGCTAATTTGTTGATTTTTCCTAGATGAAATACTCAGAGTTATGGGCCATAAGACACTGGACTACTGTCTGAACATATGTGCTGGGAAGCTGGATTATTTAGTCAGAATACCGAACGAAATTTTAGTAAAAATAATTTTTTATCTAAATCTGGAAGATGTGATTAATTTAGGGACTACATCAAGACACTTGAATGAGGTAATGATTTTGTCTTTACCGTTTGAGTTATTGTTTATTCAAAGATATGTAATAGTGATTCATTATGGCGTGAAGTCTATGTTAACACAACATTAAGTCAGCCAAGTAGACCTGTTGAAGAGTTAGCAAAACTATTCGGATGGAAAAAGCTTCTATTCACAAGCAAATTACACCTTCAGGTAAAATGAATTAAAGTTGCTAGAAATTATATCACAACTATGGTTATTAACAGATGCAGTTACGTCGTTTAACCTTGGAAGAAAGTGACGGCAATGAAAACATACGAACGAATGTTTCTCATGATCCTGGATTGTATTTAGGTAAATTATTTGTGTTAATGTCTACATGTATCTTAATAATCATAGTTGGCTATTTTTCATGCGACTAATTTATTGAAGCTTGTTAAGTTGCAAACGGTGCTTTAGTTGTGAAGATTGTTCAACATAGATATAGTCTCTATCATGTAGTAATCTAAGTTAGATAATCATTAGACTCCAGGAGAATATAAAGGTGAATTTCAAGTTGAACAATCATTATAAAGTTTCATGTTCATAATAACTGTATACTCACTAGTGCTTAACTGTGAATCGCATTACCAATACTATAGTGACATTGTGACCATCTAGATCCAGACACTCATTACAAACGTGATGCATTCATTATCAGCAGCGAAAAATGATCGTTTTAAACCAACTGGAGTTTAAAATATAAATCACTGGATTCTTATGTAGTGATTCAAGGGTAATTTAGCTGCTACAGGCCTAAAGTTGCTAGGCTTTTCACTTCTCGAGTAGTTGTTTGTATGCACTGTCGTAAAATTCTATACCATAATAGATTTACCTAGTTCTTTCTGATTTTAATGGATAACTAACTTCATTCAGTTAGTGCTGTAAACTATCCTTACATAAAGTATTGGTACATATATATATATATATATATATATATATATGCATAAATGTGCCTGGTCCTGTGTTGTAGCTGACTGACTGATAACGGATAATTAAAGATCACAGAACTTTCAAGCCACTTTTCTTCACGGCTCATTTAATTTTGAATTTAATTGCTGGACATCTTTTTGAGAGAACAAAAGTGGAGACAAAAGTTAACGATTTACAATTAGTTATAACAGTAACATATTAAAAACCAAATAAATCAAACAAATCTCAACTGTGACATTTTGATGCGTTTAAAGTATTTCTTGTGAGACTTAGAAACCGGTGTTTCGATTCCCTATCCAGGCGTTTATTTTGTAGGTTCAGATAAATTTCCTACAGAACCATTACGTAGTTCGTTAATCTATCCATATTAAAGTTGTATGTTAAATCGTTGTTGATGGACCTTGTTAAAAAATCTGACAATCTGAATAGCTGTAAGATGAACTAAGTTATTCTCCGTTTTTCATCGGAATTTGTTATGATAATGTATGGTTTTCATGTGACTGATGAATTGTTCCCCACATACCAATAATTGTCTAATCATCTTGAATGTTCCACTCCAACTGATGAAGTATTGGTTGCACGGCAAAACTACTTCATTTTGTATCCTAATATTAAATAAAACGGATTGCTTTCAGAACTAATGGAGAAAATCCTCTGATATTTGTTCATTAATGATTTTATAATTCTATGAACCGTTTCATTATCTGTCAATTTGCTTTTAAAAGTTGTATAATAATTGAATAATGATATATGAATGGCACTTTATAATTTTAGCAGAAACATCAATAAAGAATTGTCGTTTTTCATGACTTGAGCAAACGTCATATAAATAATATCTAATAAACCTAATATTCATAAAAATGAGTTAATTTATGCAGACTATCAAATAGGATATGCAAGGATTTACGATATAATCTGAGGTTTTATCCAAAACAGTTTGTCGGTTTTGTTTTGTTTAGGTTAAAGTTAAACTTAAACTATTCCTTTGTGTAAAACTGAACAGTAACAATCTTCTAGTTATTATTTTTATGCTGGTTTTGGTTCTCATACTGTTGTATTATTCAAGACTTTTAATTAAACTTATAAACGTTTTATTGAAATATTTGTCTCACTTATGAACCTAATTGTAATTTATCTTGTATATAAATTTTCCAGATGAATTGAAATATGATGAGCATAAACCTGTGCACGACAACATTCACTGAATAGAAAACTGTATGTTAGTTGAAAAAATATATGTAATATAAACACAAACATCTGGTTAAATTGCTTCATATATAAATACAGTTCAAAAGAAGACTATTATTAAAAGTATTTTGCTAGCAAGCACTTGTTTATTAGTATTCAGTATGCTGTCATAGTTACGCGATATTTGAAAAAAACTGAAAATAATTTATAACACTAGGAGGGAAGTATAGTGGTAGAGATTGGGCATGTAATAATGTATACATTTTGTCCAAAAAGTTGTAGAAAGTAACAGTTGACAGAACCAACCTTGTATCTCTAATACTTCTTAAAGATGGTGTTAACAGGTTAGTAGTACAGGAGATTTTTTGAAATAAATCAGCCATTCAGTACAGTTCTGGATGGATCATGTGTTTCTCAAGCAATTTCGAAAAATATATTTCTTTATCGTGATTTAATTTTAGATAACGTAAATTTGGAGACAGAATATCTCAATTATTTGACATTAGCTGCTGTTCACTATTCTTTTAAATCCCTATAACTTTAGCTTAACATAAGCTTTGTTGCGTTGACTAGTCAGTGAGTCGTAACCAGTGTTCTCAGTTATAATCTATCGATTCAGTTTTAATATATTCCTTAGTTTAAGTAACTGGATTTTGCAGTACACTGTGGTTTGTGTCTAGCTATTGTAGGTAATCAGAGGGAAGCCTTAAACCTAGTGTTTATTTTAGGACGCGGAGATACAAATTGTTTATTCCTGTAAAAATAGTTTCAGTATGGTAAAACTGAGTGATACATATTTGAATCCTACGGAGAGGGCTAGTTCACTGAAGATTTGAGCATACCATACTGACAAGTCCAACTAGAACAAAGTCTAGATATAAGACTTATTCAATCACTTAATATGAGCTTTGCTAGCTAACACTTTTCAGAAGTAACCACACTACAACAAACGTGTTTGCATACAAGACCTGAAAGAATAGCTGCCATATCACATACTGTCAAAATGTTTAAATTAACTTGTCTTATAATCAGCTAATTAAGACATTTTCAAAATAATAAGTAATACTACTAAGTAATACTACTGTTAGGTCAAAAGTAGATATAATCAAGATTAAAAGTCTATTCCTCTTTTTTATTAAATTAACTTATCTAGTAGGTAAACTGAAAATATGAAATCTATTTATTCATCGTTTGAGTTATTACTAGTGCACATATAAATGGAAGCTTATCAATCAGTAGGTCACGTTAATTCGTGCTAAATTTATTATTTTCTTTTCTGAATTTGTGAACTTTCTATCCAGCATCTTGTTTTTAACTGACACTGTTAGAAAATACCTACGTTATTTAGGAAGTGTTTTACTTGACTCGGTGGTATAACGTATCTGCTCATTATTGTTCAATAAAGTGTCAGCTTAATGATTAACTAAACATTTTTGGGTGGCAATGATATTAAAAGCCTTAATTATCAAATATCCATAATATCTTAAATAATGATGCTTCTTTTGAAGTCGCGGCGTCTTTGAACCATGGGGTGGAGAGAAATAAAAAAATGAACCGCAAGACAAATATATACGACAAGCATCAATCAATCGTGATTCTTTTCAAGCCGTATCTGAAGTTTAATTACCTTAATGTGTACATACATATTTAACTAGCTCAAAGTTGAGAAATATAACCACTTCCTAGTACTTACTTATGAGCTAAATACTGATAAGATCCATTTAAAGGTTACTACTGACAGAGTAGAAAGATTTACCAAAACGTTTAACTATTCCACTTTAAGTGTTTCAGAGAACTTCATAATTTCCAACCTTTACTTAATGAACGATATTATTTTGAAACGTGATTTAAATTAATTATGTAAGTAAACGGTTGTTTTTGTTTCATAAAAGTATAAGACGGTAATGCTTTTTCATTAATTCATCAAGCTATTCAAATAACTACTTGTAATTTAGCTAAAAACTTCAAGTTTGAACGTAATATTAAAGAAAGTATCATAGCGATAAGCTAATTCATTAATCCGACTAATAATATTCTATGAAAAAGATTTTACATTTTTATTGAAATTATCTTCTTTATTAAGTTTATTTTCAATATTCGAATTTTGCAAGTTATTTAACAACTATTAATAAAAAGAATCAACATCGTTAATAAGTGAGTTTCAGGACAAAATAGTATAGTAAATAGTATTTTTTATAGTCAGTCAGTCAGCTACAACATAGGACCAGGCACATTTATGCATCGGTCCAAGTTGCCACACCTCATTAGCACAACGAAATGATCACCTAATTGATAGTAGTTACTTCAACTGTAGTAATATATAAAAGAAAGATTGTGTATAAGGATGTAATACAAGGAGAAAGAATTACTTCGTAGAAAGAAAAGTATAAAGTAATTGTAATCCAACGGTTTAAGGGAAGACAAAGAGTGTATACACTTACGCCATTGTGATCGATTCTTTGCCATGTCACCCAGAGTTCATTTAATCATGAATAAAAAAACTTAGCAATTTTCCTAGTAAACTGAAAAACATGTTGACAGAGATTTTGAGATAAAGCGTAAAATTATTAAGCCAGTTAGTGTAACTGTTTTCATGGCTTATGTATTTCAATGTATTCAGTCAGTAAAGATGAAATTTATTGTATGTAAAAGAGGTAAAATAACACAGTTACGTCAGTGATAGAGAAATTACAAAACGAAACAAACAAACAAAAAAGTAAACACACTTTTTATTATGAACCTTCGTGTTCTTGGTGATTGTGTGTTTCTACATTAAAACATTTGAACTAATTAGTGCCGGATTCAAGTTTTCGAGAAGATATTAGTGAAAAAAATTGTTGTATGACTTCAATTGACCAGTTATTAGCGCTCATCTACAATTCCAATGATCAGCATTATAAAACAAACACTTAGAAACCCTTGTAGACTGTTTCAAACCAAGTATTATTCAGATTAAAATGATTACATCAAAACATTCAACATATATTCTAGTATTTATAAAAATATGTCTAGTAAATGAGTACAAATAAATGCAGAATTTAAAAGTTAGTGATCAATTTATTTTTATTTAGATACTGATATTGGGACCATTAACTAATAAACAATCGTAACAGATGCAACCATTTACTATTTTGAACAATATAACATTGTCAAACTCATTAATACATACCTCATTTTGGCCTTTGTAAAATATAATTATTATGGACTTATAAATTTAGAGCCTGATGAGGAAGTTATTAAAAACAATTGTTCGCTCAAATATTTTTCATTTTTTGATAAACATATATTGATCAATAATAATAGTTCTTTAAAAAATAAACAAAGTTATGAAGTTGATTTTGTTATTTCATTTAACAAGTGATTAATATCTATGTAAGTAACAGAATTCCTTATTATCTTTATTAAAACAATATGATAATGTGTTAATTAGTTGATAATATAAGATAAACAAATTATTGTTGAAAGAGAATCATAGAATAATAAACAATAAAATACTGGTCTTTCAGCAAATCAAAATTTGTTTAGAATGCTTTCAATTCATTCAAACATATATATATATATATATATATATATATATATATATATATATATATATATATGCATAAATATAAAATGAAAATGCGGACGAAATCTTAGGTAGTTTTAAATGAGATTTGTTTGAATGTTATGTATTATTTTTGTAAACAAATAAACAAACAGGAACTGAATAATAAATTCATAATAATAATAAACAGTAAATAATACATTTATTAAATTTTAGAAATGATAATCATATAAAGAAAAATTAAATCTTTCTTATGAATATACATGTTGATGGGCATGATCTTCTAATATCTAAATTTGTGACAGGAAAAACCAATAAAATGAGATAAAAGAAAAAAAATTATCTAGTAATTACATGATAAGTGAAACTTCGAGAAAAGCAAACTAACTAAAGGTTAAAATCATCAGATGGGTTTTGTGGATATTATAGTAATCTCAATGGTTAAGATCATGAGTCAGTTGAAGCTAGACCACCATGGAAAACCTGGAAGCATTGGATTGCCGTTTCGTCTTGTTGAGGGGCCCTTCATCAGTGCGCACCCATGACCTCGCCCCTGCGAGATTCGAACAAAGGACCACTAAACCACTGAGCCGGCATCCAATGGTGTTAATGTCTAACTTCAACGAATCCACAAAATTGAGCGACACATCCACCACTGTTTTCAGTGAGTTACCATATCACAACAGACCTGGTTGAACTCCACTGGTCACTGCTTCTCACCAGAACTCCAGGATATATATCTTGAAGCCAGTCACTAGTGAGCATATGTTGATTAATATCAGATGGGTTTTGTGGATATTATAGTAATAACTAAAGATTGTATAATTACGTAAAAAGTGTAATTTATGTTGGTTAGTTTGATTGTTGATAATATTCTTCATTGAATAACTTCAAAACAGCTTTTCTATTGCAAAGGCAGTCAGGTTTATTTATCGCGATTGCCCAGTCGAGCTATTTTGACTGAAAAACTTGTTTATTGAGGATCTACCATACAAAGTACGTTGGTTTTAAAACAGTGAGAACTCAAGCAGGAAGTTAAGGTGTGAGGCCAAAGTGATTCTACTTGATTTTATAGGACTGTGATGACAGTAAGCTGTTGCTCATAGAGGATGATACCTTTTCAAAACGGATGGAAAGTTAGAAGAGGTCACCTCTATGAATAGAACACGTCACTCTGCCCTATGGATTTCTGTCTTTAGTGGTAAGTACGGAGCTATAATTGTATACACTATCTGAATAGCTATCAAAATATAGCTACTTTTTTTTAAATCTATGACATGATAACAAAGTTTTCAATATAAATTAGTCAGTTTCTAAAACGAACATCTTTTCTGATTAGAAGTAATACGAACCAATTATAAGATTGAACACAAACAATATTGAAAGTCCTTTGTTTTCTAACTTTGATTATCTTATTTTCCCAGAATGAAATAGCAGAAATATTTAAAGAGGATAAGAATTAGTGAGAATGGTTGTTTATATTTATTTGAGTATTATAGACTTATTTTTTTTAGGAAAAAGATGTCAGTTTCCTAGATAATTCACAATAATCCATAGATTTACATTTTACTACTGAAAATATAATTTTTGTATTTCGTGAAGCAATATAAATACCACACACTTAAAGTGGTGTACTCACAACTAGCCTTCCTAAATATTTAATCGGCTGATAATGAGTTGTCATGTAAATCATCTTGAAATGTTGATATTTTTCTATAATATAAAGCTAACTATGACCGTGAATATTTACACTTTAGAAGTTCTTCAATTCTCATTATTAATGAATCTATCTATTTGTTTTAAGATTCGAAAAAAATAAACTCATTGCTTTATTCTAAATATACATAAAAAAATCATACCTCTTTATTAAATTGTGAACAATTTAACGGAAGATATAGATCACATGAAGCCCAATTACATCGAAATCCATCGGTTGATTCGCCTAAATAATGATCTTGTACAATATGATTCACTAATTCATTTTTATTGGTAAAACCAAGAGAACAAAATTCAATCTAATAGAATAAGAAAATTTGAATTAAAAATTTATGATCTATGTATCATATATGTAATATGATGTAGGTCTATAGAGAAAAGTAATACTCTCAACCAATTTCATGTTTTCATTACAACAAAGATATATTTTAATTCTATTATGAATTTAATATCCGACTAGCATAAAAGAAAACCAACTTATACTTAATAAAGATATCACGTTCTTTTTGAAATGTGACAAGTTGTATCACACACTTATGAATATGGAGAATGCTTCGATAAATCTTTCAATGCATAGATTTGCTTGTCATTTTGTTGCAATTTTTACGCTGAATTTCTGTAAAGAATATGGTGGTTGGTTGTTAAATTTGGCTTGTCTTTTTCAATAATATAAGTGGAAGGTCCTACAGAGATTTAAAGTGTTTAAGTGAACCTTGAATTATACTACTGATTGGTATAAGTAGTTAAAAAGTACATACATTAAACAGCTGGTTTTATTAGCAGAATAATTAACAGAACAGTGATATTGTTTGAGTGGTGGAAAATCATGATTGATTTTAGTGTGATTGAAAAATTTAATATAGATTTTGAGCTAGTGGACACTCGTCTGCAAAGTGTGGTTTTGATTTTGAGAGAATTGATGCTCTCCGTGGGATTTGAATCGGGATTATCCTAATTTTATTGAAACAATATAAACACGTAGGGTGAAACGAGCAATTTCTGTTATCAGAGCTTCTACTTTCTTATGATACACTGGCAGGAACAAACTAACGCATCTCTTGGTATAAGCTTTTTGTACATACGTTTCAATATTAACGCTGTGATTAGATTCACTGTAAGATAATGTGCAACAGTTTAAGGGACTTATACAACAAGTCTTTATTCGAAATGATGTCAACTAGTAAATTATTAACAATCCTAACAGAAAATTAAGTAATTGTTAGAAATTCATAATGAAAGGCTTGTGCCCGATCAGTGCCCAAATTTATTAAACGAAGCTATGGTTTTTTTATCAGCGAATAAACTACATTGTTTACTGACGAGGAACAGAAAAACGAATATTTCCGTTTCTTTACTATGGAGGTATTGAAAGTATTTGATGTTCTGATCGACAAACTAGTTCTTTTATAAATGAAATGTTTGTTTTTCAACATTAATTGGTAACATCTTTAACACAGCAGGATTTTGTGTAACCCACAACACTTTGATATACATTTATTTGAGTAACTGTACACTTAGAATAGACTGAAGAAGAGGAAGAGTAAACGGATTCGGGATCTACATTTCATGTCACAACCATGCTTTATAGGCTTAAGTGTATCGAAATGAATCAATCCTATTCAGCTTGTAAATATCACGCAGCTTTTTGTCTGTTCACTCCATAACTGATAATCTTTGTTTGAAACTTATTCTATCCTAAAGCAGCGTAGTCAATTATGTTTGAATGAAACAACTGAAATGGTATACAGTATCACCATAAAACAATTATAATTTATAAGGTAATCAGTACATTTTTTTCAAATAACTAAGACTTACCATACAACTAAAACAAGATTCAGGGACATGTGTTATATGAATTTCACCATTTTCTAAAGCTGTTGCAATCTAAAGTAACAAACAATGTCAAATGTATCATGACAGTAAACTATGTGTCACACAATTGTTGTTATAACAGTGGATCCTAATAGTGATTTTCACTAAAAGTAACAATCGCAAATTTAGGAGTTTATAATTAAATTTGATTAAATCTTTCTGTATAAGTACTTGATTTTAAATTGTACAATTGGTTTGTGTAGGAAGATAATGTCTTCGAATAAAATGTATTCGTTTTCAGTCATCCCCCGGTTATTATCTGTGATATAATTAATGGGATCTATTAATCAAGAATATGATTGGGGAAATTGTTTATTCAAACGTTTTGGAATACGTATACTAACTAAAATGTAGGGGAAATAAACGTTGATTAGTGAAAATAAAAGAATATGGTGAGCGTTCTAGAACATGGTTTACCTATACATAACACTAATATTTGTGCTTTGCGGACGTAAGTTTTTCAATCATAGGGTCTATATGCAGTGTTATTGAAATGCCATTTGAGTTACTCTTATTTTCAACAAAAGCTTAACATAGCATAAACTATCACATGAAGGTGTAATTAGGTCATTCAGGATATATGTTTCTAAACTTATCGATTATTAATTTTATTTTGCTTGATTTGAGAAAAGTTGAATTACAATGATAAATGATTAGCTACCATGGCATAGTTGGGTGAAGTTTTCACAATCATACATGCAATTCCATGTACCGATGGGATTTCATCATAATAACTAAAATTTATCGCGTCTATCAACTGATTTTCTAGGAAAAAAGAGGATTAAAAATCAATCGCACATGTGATATTGCAACGATATTAAGGTTAGATTTTAGATGAGTTAATTACCATTATTGTCATACAATAGAGTTCACTGAATAAATGTATGTAACGATTATTAACAAACAATTTCTCCTCCCATTTAAGAAGCAAACTTCATAAGGAAGTGTTGCCTGTCACTGAGTATAATGTCGTTTTGTTTGCATAAACGCGGAAAAATCTGTAGACAAACGCTTTAACCTTTCGTGTTAATCACTGAATTTCTCATATGGTTAAAACAGTTACCACGCGAGGAATAAGTTAGTTTAGATATTTCAAATCCTTGAGGCATGCATTTAGCTTTGTGCATGTATCTGTGTTGCTGAATATTTATAAATTATTGAACTCATTAGTCAATTATTTACTCCTAACCTCTGTATTTTAGTCTAGTTTCATGTATATAATCACCTATTCTTTCAATGATTCGCAAACCTTTATCACTTTTGTATAAGTAATCAGTTTTTTCATTTAATAGCAGGAATAATAAACATATCTTTGTTGATGATTGTTTCTATACACTAACAACACTACAAAATCTATAGATTTGATCAGTAGACTTGAAGAAGACTCAAGGTCAAAAAGAATTTGGGTGGATACATACGATGAACCACTTCTAAACTCCTTTTTGACAGAGTTAAGATGTACAATGTCTAAATGGATCTTGAGTATATTTCAATAGTAGTTTTCCTTTAGATTATCGTGAAATGATCAGAATCGCTACTAAATACATTTCATTATAAATGCTATTTACTGAAATCTAGTCTCACATTTCAAACTCAGTTACACTGGTTAAAATGAGCAAAGAATTATCAACCATATTTCCCTTGAAAATGGTTCAATCTCATTTCCAATAGTTGAAATCATGAGTCAATTGAAGCTAGACCACCATGGAAAACCTGGAAGCACTGGACGGCCGTTTCGTCCTAAAATGGGACTCTGGTAACAATCTCATTTTGCTGATGTTTAAATAATCAAATAAGTAATGATCAGTTATTTTACTTATTAAGGAAGTGAGATTGAGATAGTCTATAGATGTTGGATGAGGATAAAATCAACGTTTAATCATCATTCATAATATTTAGTTCCAAGGTTAAATGTCCGCAATCAATATAATTATAAATTACATGAATAAATGGATGATAAATTTATGTTCAAATTTTACTTTCATGGTACAAAACACCTTGAACAGAATTCTTTTCATTGCGAAGTTATTTTTGTTGATTTTTCACATGCATGTTAAAATTACTACTTAAATAAATAAGCATTTACTGTTTAGTTCTTTTCAATGATGAATATGGAGGTGATCTGATTAGATAATTAATTTATATGTTGATCGTACATCGGTTATTTCAATAATATAAAAAATAATGTTTTGTACACAGTATCATGCTTTGGGGGGAAATGAACATACATTGTAGGTTGATAAGACAACATAGTATGGAATATTCAACATTTTGGTATAAAAAAAGAGAAATAAAATCAGAGACAATTATTCAAAACAGTTATTCAATTTTAATAATGTTAATGGTATTATGTTTATATATAGAGAGAAATAAAATTGTTTTACTTACAATGGGTGTAATACCTAAACCCGATGAAACAGTTGTAATCTGTGAATCAGTTGATAGTACAGGGCAAACTAATAGACAACTTCTACCTTTTATATCTAATCGACGTTGACTTTCAAATGGAGAAATTTCTAATAAACGATTTTTATTTACAGATATCCATGTACGTCTATGCTGAGATTGATTTAAATCAGCTGGTTGTGGCCATGATTTTGATAAACAATTAATTGGTTGCATGAATGTAGGTAATTTAAATTTGGATAATATATCAAATGTCTTTAAATTGTTTAATTTGAAATGATGCCAGTGAGGAAATAAACAAAAAAGGACAAAAAATAATTATAGATGATAATATATATCAGAAGGGGTTTTTGTGGATATTATAGTTATTTCAGTAGTTGAGATCATAAGTCATGAGCAATGAAAACACGACCGTTCAGTGCTTCCAAGTTTTCTATGGTGGGCTAGCTTCAGTTGATTAATGATCTCAACTATTGAAATAATACATATGTCTAACATATTCTGAGACTGAAAAATAATTGCTTTCTTTAATCCATATCATAAGTAAATATTATTTAGTAACCATATAATAATTCATTTGATAAACTTTTATCTAAATTTTTCGGTATCAGATATGTGGTTACAAATGTTTCTAGTTGATTCAATTAAAATAAATGAAATGGGATTTGAATGTGTTACCATGCCTTAATGTTGAATCCCTACTTCTTTGTATTGTTTCATAATTAGATGCTCATAATGATGGAACATAAGTAGAAAATCAGTGATATCTATCACAAATAGATTTCTACGCAAGTGAAAATGGATAGTGGCTAGCAGTGGAATCCAGGACGAGCGTTTCGCCATACCTGGGATTCGTAAGCTGAATATACCTGCATTTCAAAGTTCATGTTCACTCTGGAACTCCAACCAAGTACCAATCGCTTTAAACGCCATCGCGTTATCCACTTAGCTATTAAGTTCTGATAGCTACCTGCTTGTAAAATGGGAAGATACAAGTAAACAACATCCAGTGAAGTTTTTTATACATTTAGGTAAAAATCTCTGTTTATTTACATGAAAATCAAAAGATCAATTTCGTCTTATGAGAAAAATTTATAAGAGCAACTCAATGTTTTGTAAATGAAACAGAAATGAAAATAAAAAATTAGATGATTTTTCTTCGAAAAACAATCCGAACAGTATATATTTAATTTATAGACAATTCAATAGAAATCTGTGTATTTGTTGTTTAATATAAGAGAAAGGCAGAAAATAATTATACAAGACAGAAAATTTGAATTTTTTTAATCTACTTTATTACTTCATTTGTACATGTTACCATTAAACAAAAATACATTGAACTTGGAATTGTATATAGGAGAGATATGGTAGGTTACTGTTTTACATTGATAATTTACAAAAGTATCTTAATCAAACACAAACTTTGTCGAATAATTCTTTTGTTATGTATTAGGGAGTTGTAGCGATTACTATATAAATATTTTTCAATTGTTGATCAATAAAGAAGTCATTCAGTTAGTTTAAAGCCATGGTTAATTTAACACTGTTGTGATGTATGCTACTTATGCTGACAAATATAAGTAGTATGTGGCACAAATTGGAAGATGAATACTTGAGTACAGAAGTTTGAGAAGAGAACAGGGATATAAACAAAAAGTAATTACGATAACGACAGGAATAAAGAAACGATGAAGTTTGTAAGAGACAAATGATAGATGTGCAAGTGATGTATTGGATATATGATTTGCGTATTTTGTTAAGACGCCGTAACTTTGCATTAAGCAAAAAACTGGTCTTCCCCAGCTGATTTCTTCGTTAGCTACAGTATTATTTGGAAACTTTTTGTAGTTCTTTACAAGAGTGATATTACTAAAAGGGAAACTTTAGACTCAATAAATCTTTATGTGAAACGATGTACTGTGTCTTTGAACTATAACACGATAGCTAAAATCATGTTATGAAATATTGGGCTATATATTAGTAAAACAAAGTGGTGTATTTCTAGATACATTTATTAAATGCTAAGAGTAATTTATTCTTAGGGTTGTATAAATGGGAAACTCAAGTAAACTGGATGTTTTATTGGGGATTCACTGTAATTAACTATTATCACATTAGATTCGAGACGTCTATACGACAATACATAATTTCGATAAGAGGGAAATCATTGATACAAATTGTTGTTGTCATCATGGAGAAAAGATATATCTGATTAAAAAGTTAAGGGAACGTTTAAAGATGATAGTAGCTCACAAAATAAAACTGTTCATACTAGTTAAGCGAAAAATGATTCTAGTATTTTGGATCGGTAGTGTACTTGGTTTTTAAGTTAGCTAAATAATTTATTTCACTAAAGAAATATGAAGGGATTAAGAAAGCTCTTAGTTTCGGTTTTAAGCCACTTTCTCCAAAAAGCATTTTAGAGTATGATGCTCCAGTTAATTCTATGATGCTTAGTCCGTTTTTCAGAACTGTAAAATGGATGTTATCTTTGAACCATGAAGTTAGTATTCAATAGTTTACAAATTTAATTCCTGTCAATTTGCAATATTACACAAACATTATTAATTTCCATTGATAATATTCGTCTTACTATCAACATGATTCAATTTCACTGTTTGCAGTCTCTTGATAGAAGTTTGCAAATATTTGTCGAAGTTATTCATGAAACTTTGTATAATGAAGTCAATATGGGTTAGATTAAATAAACTATAATGCTTGCTACAAGCTAAAATTAATTGTGAAAGGAACCAAATGACGTTAAAGAAATATCGAAAGGTAAATATTTATCTGTAGTTTGATATCATTTAAAACTGATTCATAACTAGCTATGCTGGTTTGTAAGATATGATAAACTGTCAGAAAACAAACCTAAACAACATCACTTAAATATAGTTTTGATTCATAGATTTTGTGTGAAACAGATAATAATAATAATAATAATAATAATAATAATAATAAACAAAACAATATCAATACTTACATGTAAACTAAGCCAAAATATTTCATTTGTAAAACACATACATAAACTACCAGAGCATCCACTTTCAATAACTGTCATATCAATTAAATTAGAGTTAGGATCATTTGATAAAATTTTATTATATGATACGGTATTACGTAAACCTTTGCCTTTACAAATCCAATTGGTTAAACGTAGAATTTTTCTTCTTGTACATTCATAAGCTGCAGTAATAAAACTAAATTCACATGAATTGATATCATTTAATGAATACAATGATGAATTATCAATATTTGAGGTTGTTTTATTTAATTTTAATTCACCATTGGATTGTGAACGGAAGTTGTCGTGAATATATGTACAATATTTAAAATTTCCATGTTTTCCTTTACGTGATATCTGAGGAGAAAATTTTATTTTAATGTTTTAGAAAAAAGTGAACAACAGAACAACGAAAATATTTCGTATTATTCAATGACTAAAATTATTCATTAGTTTGATGTAAGTATGTAACCAATATACAGAGAATATTGAGTGCAAGAATGTTGGGGGAGTCACTTAATTTACTAGTAGTAGTTGCCAAAGACTAACTTGAGAGGAGGACTGAACATCGATGTTATGATACTATGAGACCTCTCAGCAGTAAGCACCCACTGGTCTTTCAAAGATTAAACGAATCTCCACAAAACTCTCCCATCTAAAACATAATTTTATGATCACCAGTGATTTACTCAGAGATAAGCTCGCGAGGTTTTAGTTGGAACTCTAAATATAGGAATCTCACCCATATCGAGAGTAAAGTAGTCGGAGGTGGGTGAGCGCTGGCACAGATTTTAAGTTAATGGAATTTCAAAATATGAACTGATGGATGAAAACGACTTAAAGATTTAACGTACACCGTGAGCTATGAATGTCAACTAAGGAAATATTCCTTAATATATGACAACTAAATTATTTATACAGAAAGCGATTCTTTCTACTGTGTTTATCTGCTCAATGAAAATCAGTCTGACAATAACATCTACATTAATCATACGACATAGACTAAGAGTTTTCATCAACTGAAGTCGTGTTTTGGTCTGGTTGTACTCGTCTTCCACTTAACCGAACATATTAATTGTAGATGTATACCAGGGTTGGTGGTAGCCGATAATAAACAGAAAAATATCTCTGAGATTTTTTAATCAACTGGCCTTAAATTTCTTTCATTTATTGCTTAACGTTACTCGTTAAAGCAAATCAGTATTAAATTAATGGCCGACTCATTACAACAATATTTAAGAACTATGAATATTAACAGAAGGTTTACGATTGTAGGCGAAATTAATACAAACATTTATATATGATTTGTTTAAAATTAATTAATTATAGGAATGTTATAGTCAGAGACTGATTAATATAGAACGAAATCAGACCTCTACAATTTTACTCCTATTTAATTGAAATATAAAACTCTACTCAATTCATGTTTGCTTATTTGTTAAATCTTCGTTTTTAAATTCCAATTAAATTATTATCAATTTGTAAATGTAGTTTGATGCTTCAAAAAATATTGTTTAACACAACAAACGTTATATTATTTTAGTTAGAAAAATGATAAATAGTAATTCAATATTGAATCTTCGCATCATACACAAAGTAGTAGATACCCTGGAGAAACTACCTCTTTAGTTGTATATATATATATATATATATATATATATATATATATATATATATATATATATATATATATATATATATATATATATATATATGAGAGAGAGTGTGTGTGTGTGACAGTTATGGTCTATCTTTAGGAGAGCGAAGCCAAGTAAAGTTAATAAAGTCCACCTACTTACTAGGGTCAAAATAGGATTATAAATTAGTTTAAGAAATCAGAATCGGGATTTATAGTTGGAAGTCAGGGTTTTCATCACGAAACGACATTAGCTATAATGTTGAAATGTTAATTAGCTATATGGATGAATGAATTTCGCGTCAAAATTCAAGATTTGGTATCTTAAACCTGATTGGTTTATTCTTAAGTTATCGTGCCACCGATCTGGAGATCGTAACTAACGGTTTGTGGACTATAAGTTATGTTAGACGTCTCTTATGGAGCATTTCGTGAAACTTCATAAATGAAAAATATTTAGGAGAATTCCCTTTTTTTGATAGGGCTGTAATTACGTCTAGTACTTCTGAGTATCCGGAAGGAAGAATTATCTTATCCCACCGGCAATTTTTTTTTAAAGTGTTCCCCACCCCCCTGAAAAATTTTTTTCCATCCCCAAATTACAATATTTTTCATCCCCTGTTTCGTCCAATGAAATTAGTAGTTTTAAAAATTCTATGTAATTGGTTAGTTTTGTCTGGAAAGTTGTTATAAATTATGAGTACATGCCGATGATGTAGATTTTAATCATGATTATGGAGGACAGTAACGTTCCAAGTACAAGCGCTGTTGTTTCTCACGTAACGGAACTGGATGAAGTGTTTTTAACAAGCTTGTTTCTTGTTGCCTTTCCATCGATTGAAGCGTTGAAGACGGCTATCATCAATTATGAAAGGTCGAGTTACAGTCATTATGTCGTGCGAGATTCGCATATTAGTCGAGATCAAAATTCTTATATAAAATTTGTGTGTTGGAGGAACGTGCGTACAAGATCTAACGGTTCGTCACAGCGTATTAGGAGGAGGAGGTAAATTGGTTCTTGTTATTATAATTTGTTTCACGAAGCGCTTCATTGAACACCCAGTGTCCGGCTTTCATATTTTGTAAGATGGTAGACGGCATCTGGACTGTCGTACGTGGGAATGTGCGTCACAATCACGAGTGCAGTTCCCTCAGGTACGAAGGTAATTCATGGGTGCGTAGATTAACGAATGGTGAGCTTGAAGCTGTTAAACCGCTGCTGATATCTGGTACAGGAGCATTCCACGTCAAGCATTTTGTTTACCAATCATATGGTAAACGACTGACTGATCAGGACATATGTAATATGCGGTATAAATTGTTCTCAAACGCGAACCTACCAGGTAAGCAATTCGCAAAATTATAGTGTACCCCATAGGTGATTACGGCAAATTACAAGCTCACATAATATCCTTGGGTGGGCTGTGCGAATACGAATTAGACGAAGAGAACTGTCTGTCGTATTTTTTCTTTATGACTGCCGAGCAATTGAATTGGGCTGGTTACTTCAGTAACGTTATTGGTTTTGACGGGACGTACAAAACGAATAACCAGAACGTCCATTTATATCAAATAGTTGCACTGGACATGAATTTTAAGGCAATACCCATCTGCATTGCCTTTTTAAGTAATGAAACGTCAGCGTTAATTTCTACCTTCCTGAGTTTTTTCCAACGGTGTACAAACAATCGACACTTGGTAGGAATCGTGACCGATGACTCACCTGCGATAGCTTCTGCTATCGCGCATGTGTTTCTCAATGCCCACCATATTCTGTGCCGCGTACACCTACTTAGGAATGTGATAAAGAGGGTAAGTGTACAGTTCATTAACATTATCTCATTAACCGTTTATGTAGAGGGTTCGATCAGAAATTCTGCAGCTGTTCTTTCGTCTTATGTTGACTCGAACAGTTGAAAGGTAAATCAAATTTCGCATAACATTATATTTTAGTTTTAACAATGTGCTTTCCATAATTGAACTGTCTGACGGAACGTCTGGTAGATACGTCAGAGAACACCTTATACCAAGGAAGCACAAATGGGCGAGTGCTTTCCGACCGCAAGCAACGCTTTTCCAACTGAATAATACGAACTTCGTAGAGACGAGTCACAGAGTGTTGAAGATGTATAATCTTAATCGTAAAACACCGGTGCTCAGATCGATTTTTAGTGTTCTGCTTCGGACTGGTTATTGGATGGAAGCAAGATTACATAAATATTCGACGGATTGTCGTAAGAAAGCGGACATTGGTCTACTTCAGGAACGACTAACACCAGCTGCCTGTCAACTACTGAAGCGACACCTGCGCATTCCTATTACGCAGTCTGTATTGTCAGAAGAATCATTCATGGCAACGGACGCCACAGGAACGCACTGTGTACATATCGAAACTGGTCGTTGTTCGTGTTCATTCTTTATTGAATACGGTTTACCATGCCGTCATATATTGGCTTACTACGCACAAAGTAATACTGATGTGAATGTACAGTCCATTTGTGACCGGTGGTTACACAGCGATGCTTATTTGACTCATATCGCAGTTGAAAATTACATCCCAGTGCAATTGAGTCAGCCGAACTTGAGGAATGAAGTTCGAGATTTAGTAACGCAACATAACTAACAACTTCAATTGAAGGTTGACATTAAATCACTTGATCGGATATCAAACATTTATCTCAATACACATTCACTAACACTACGATTTCAGTTGGTGTTTTCTTCTTGAAAAGCCTAAATTGTTTTTAAGATTACCTTTACACAAATGAATTTTTCATTATTATTACATTTAAAATATAAAAATGCAATTTCTGACTTCCAATCAAAGCACTTGATCCTATTTCGATTTCAACTAATCAGATTGCAAAGATCAAGAGTTTACGACCAATTACAAAATTATTAAAGGTGACAAATTTTCGGTTCATTTTTACTTGAGTACACACTTGCAAAACAAGTACACCAATCACAGATACCTAAATTTTCAATTCACACCCTACCTTTTTTATAAAGGGGTGCTAGCGATTTATATTTGCCGGGAAATGAATGTCGACCAGGAAGGAATGGCATATGGCCATCTATGTGAAATAACTGCACAAATGCTATCATTTGAAGCATCTCCCACAACCACAATTACTAATTTAGAATCATAATAGGCTGACATTAAATCACAGCATATGATAACACTTTGTTTCCTTTATTGAGCAGTCATAGACATTACTGCGACCACTTATACTTCCCACTGTTCAGCAAGAGTTGATTTTATGTATATCTCATTTTATGTATGGATGAAACAAAAATGTTGTAGATGTTGACCATACCAAAATAATCGTTACTTGCCATAAATATATATTTATATACATATATATGTAAGGAAACTCACCTCTTTAAAAATGTTTGTTCCGATTTCCAATGTTTCATCACATAATGTAGGTTCATTGAGAACTGTGTCTTTATTATTTGTTATAATTTTCCATTGAGAAATGGTTAATGAACCATATGTATCAATACTGAATATAGATTGAGGTAAATATTGATCTAGTTTACCTTGACATGGAATTAAACTAGCACAATATACTTCACATTCCAATATTGTTCTTGAAATCATATTTCGAGTCTACATATAGAAATCAAACAAGGATTTCTCTTTCTTAAATATTAGATTTGTACATTTAAGCATTACATTTTTATCACCATTAATGTCAAAATACTCAGAAATGATTTTTAAGTCTGAATACGTTTGTGATGAAACCTGATTTTATAAATGATGCAATTTTTTTAAAAATAATCCTACTTTAAACTTCATAAAATATTTAATTCCCACAGGAATTACAAAACTTAAATATACATCAAACTAAACTCATTTTCAATAACAACTAGATATCTAAAGAAGATATGTTTTATTCAGATTCCGAATTCAACCCTTATACATTCATCAAAAAGGAAGAAGCAATGAACAGCTTTTTTGTTCTAGTATGGTACTTCACAGATATGACCATCCACAATCTCACAGGAAAGAGAGTCCAAAACCTTTAGTTTAATGTTCAAACACTTAATTTTTACTACATTGTGCTACCAACGTTTCTTGTCTTTGAAAGGTAACTGACTTACAACCAACACATCTAAAATTTACTGGTCACGAATTCCTGTGAGAATTCTAAAATTACCTCGCGAAGTTATTTACTAGTGAGAGCCTGATAATTATCAGTACAGAGGAGCGTGGAGATTACTGAATATTACTGATGAGCAGTAATTCCGGGTTTTTAACGGATATCGGTTCGTGATATCAATAACATGCAATAATCTCCTCAAACATCTATAAAAAAGATGAATTTTAGAGGAATTTGACTAACAAAAATAAATCATTGATCTTAACTTAGTAATGATCGGTCACGTGTATTAAGTTCGTTAACATTTGATGACAAACTGTTAATTAACATCTTTTACGGTTTATACAATTTTTCAATGAATTGATTTGATTTGTAGTATATTTGTAATACTAGATAAGATACCACTGTGTGCAAATTTATTTTTACAGTCACATGTTAAGTTAAACATGATGTAATTAACGAATAAACTCTTCGGATCTGAAAATATGAGTTCATTATAATTAATGGGTGTAAAATGTGAATTTCAAAACCACAAATTTAGAGAGATTAATATGATTTATTTATTTACTACAATAGTAATATATTGGTCCTATAAATGATAAGATAGGTATGCTAAATTTAGACAAGCTTGCTAAAATAACTAGGGGAGTCTAACAACGTCGGGTGGGATGAAGGTGGAATATAGTCACGAGGTGTCATAGAGTGATTAGACTTAAAACTACAAACTACTGAATTCCGCCACAGATGTATAAATGACAAGTTCTCTGTGTGATATCTAAAGGTCCCAGGTTTAATCCTCAATAGATTCATTGGAATACACTGTGTTGAAGAATTCCATACTCAGAGAAAACAACATTTTAATACTTTCTGGTTTTCAGTGGATGTTCAACTAAGATTGGTCCATTACGCAAATTTTTGAAATTCAATAATTCTTACAAAGCCTTAATACAATGATAAAATACCATCTGATGTTTTGCCGAGGAAACATATTACCACTTCGAAATTATCCACACATTAGACATAAATGGAGAAAAGTTTATAAATACATTTAGCGCCTAAAATTATCATACAGTTGAATGAAGCTAGATGATGATCGGTACCATTTGGTCAAAATATATTTGATTAGGGATTTTTAAATACTGTATTAGAATTACAATTTGTATCTTACCATTCTTTATTAAAGTAAATAAACTCCAAGTGTTGGTACATATTATTGACAATAATTTTATTGTTTTCGCTTTAATTACGCATATTTCGCTTTTTAAGAAACTATTCGTAATTGTTCATTCATTAAATGATTATGTTCAGAAAGGGATTTTGTGGATATTATAGTAATTTGATAGATGAATTCATAAGTCGATTAAAGCTAGACTACCTCGGAAAACCTGGAAGCAATGGACGGCCGTTTCGTTCTAGTATGTGACTCCTCAGCAGTGCGCATCCACGATCCCGCCTAGCGAGAGTCGAACCCACGACCTATTAGTCTCGCGTGAGAGCGCTTGACCACTAGACCATTGAGCCGGTATCCAAAGGTGTTAACGTCTAACTTCAATCAATCAATGAAAATGAGAATTTGTAACAAATAAACTTATATTATTTTTTGTAGAAAATCTAGTATTTAAATAAAACTTTAATAATGTCTAAACTATTAGTATCATACATTTTACTGATAACATTTTCCCGTAAATTCCAATTCACAAAATATTTCACTGAATAATATTGTTTACTGATGATTATTTAACAGTATCTATTGACAAAATTCTATGAAAATAAATGGATTTCTCTTTTCTCATAGAAACCCCAATTCAATATAATCCTATATCTCTGTGTAGGTATGTGTTCATTTATCGATAGACATTGCTCTTTTCATTAACGCTATAAATTTGTTACAAAAGAATACAGTACAAAAAGGTTTGTTTTAAAAAAAAATAGTATTTTCAACTTACAGCTATGTTATATAGTGTTAAAATTCCATTCTTTTGAACAACACATAGAAATCCAACATGTGCTTTTGAATTATCAGAATATTCTAATGGATTCAATGAGAATAGATGTATTACAGGACTGGTTGATGAAATAGCATGATTCATAAATTCTGTAAAACAACTATGGGTCTATAAAATTTTAAAAAATTTTAGAAAAATAAGAAAAAATAAATTTTTTCTTTGTGTATAAACAAAATTTGTATTTTTATTTAGTCATTTCATAAACTTGAAGTTGGTTTAATGTAACTCTGTTATTTACATAAAAGAGTTTATTTATTCATTAGCAGGATGAGTGTTTCGTTTTACCTGGGACTAGTTAGCCGGAAGTACTTCTGCCATACTGTTTCAATTCACATCAGGACTCGAATCCAGTATCATCAGCTTCAAACACTCAACCTGTTATTCATTAAACCACTGAGTCCATGTATCCACTAACTTTTTCAATGAGTATAACGTTAAGATTAGTATCAGTAAGGATTTAAGTTAACTCGTTATTGATATTAGGAAGTATTCTTGATGATTCTTTATTGGAATATGCGCATCCTTTGAGGATTGTCTTGGTATATCCATCTATGTCATAAGCTATTGGCATTGATAATCGAAAAATATTTACAACTTCATTCTAATTCCACAATTATTAGTTACCAAAATGTTATCGATTTCTTTATAACGAAAAAAACTATTTTTTTTTATTGAATGCTGATGAAACAAACTACCTGTTACTGAAAATAAAATGTCTAAAGCCTAGTCTGACAGTCATAACCTTGACCAGTGATAGTTAAATGCTTAAAAAATATAGACTTATGCATTAACTTTACCTATTCTGTATCTAGACCAGAAAATTTGAACAGAATTACTGGTGGGTTCTTAGTGAAGTGATAATAATTTTTTCAGTGTTTATTTACAAACTACACTTATTTTACAAAAAGATCCTAAATATACTAAATCATTTCGTTACTTTTATTTTCAGAAAAGAACCCTTGAATAATAATAATTCCAAAATTTCATCAAAACAACCTGTCACGTACGAAATTCTTTTTCTTAAGTTAAATACATTTACTGACTAATGATATGTTTGGTAATTAGTTCGAGATGAACCTGACGAATTCATGAAAATGTGATCGGTGGACCCAGTAGAGTTTACAGTTGGTTAGTCATCCTCCAACTGTTTTGATATAGTTCCTAGTTGTAGGCGGAGACTACTAAAGAGTCCTGGGCTATAATTAAACTGATCTTAAATGCTCTTTGGTTTTCGATGACTCTCAATGTAATGTCAGAATTAGTCAACAGTGGGAACGCGATTTTTATTAGTATGACAGTTTTATAGAAGTTATTCGACTTGTGATTTATATCAAGAACTAAAACTTATTGGTTTATACCTAGCAGAATTGTAGATACATAATACTGAGAAGTTCAGTATTAGACTGAAACAGCTAGCTAGAGTTTCGTGCTTGACGTAAACTACAAGGAAAAGAATGGAATAAAATTACTTTTATTTATTCATACACACAAACCATATTTAAATAATGATTTATTGACACATAATTTGTTTCGGAAGGGGTTTTGTGGAGATTGTAGTAATTTCAACAGTTGAGATCATGAGTCAATTGAAGCTAGACCACCATGGAAACGGCCGTCCAGTGCTTCCAGGTTTTTCATGGTGGTCTAGCTTCAATTGACTCATGATCTCAACTGTTGAAATTACATGATTTGTTATTTTTACTTTGAATTTCTTGAGCAAAATTAAATTTTGATTTTTTTAAAGCAATCAGTCCCTTTGATGAATTCCAATAATGTAATAAGAAGACGAAGATTATCAGAACTATGTGATATATTAGCGCAATATATATATATTATAATAATGTGACACAATTTGAAACCTAATCACTCTGGCTGATAAGCCAATATTACCAGGGTAGGTTTAAGTTAAGAACAAACTGTTTTTGAATACACAAAGGGGTTTGGATTTTCGTATGGCTAAGGCTTCAATAAACTTTAGTATACACCCTTTTACACTTTTATACAACACCACAAAAGCTGAATTAAGACCAATCTTATGACCTGTTGCGATTATATGTTTAGCAATAGAGGATATTGAATGTTCACCCTCTACTTTTATTGGGTCACTTGATTTTATTTGTTTCTGTTTACATACCCTCCCTATGTATGTGTGACCACACACACATTTAAATTGGTAAACACAGTAGGATGTGACATAATCGTTTTCATGTTTTTAGGTTTTGGATGAAGCATGCACCTTGTTCTTTCTTTGATAATGACCTTTGCTGCGCAATACGTTTTGTTGATGAGTGATTTCAGCTTTTGTTTCAGTAAAAGGCTATTTGAATCACCTCTAAATCACCTCGGAATGTATTACGCTAATATATCACAAAGAGTTTCTCTTTCTTGTTGTTTACCCTTATACAATTCAGCTTTCTATTTTTTCTTTTGGCTTATTCTCCTAACTTTACTTATTAATTTTTTCTGACGAGTTTTGTGATGAATCTCTAGGATAGATGAGTATTAGTTTAGCTTAACTTTTTTAAAATAGAGTTGACTGACATGTTTTCGAATCCACCTACATGTACATACATAATTCATAATTTTAATTAGTTTACTTATAAAGGTATGTGTACATAGATGACAAAATCTATTATAGTAATGAGTGACAGAATGAATTTAAAACATCACAGGATAATATTTGGATAATATATTCATTTCTTTTGTTTTGAATTTTTAATGCTATTAAGTAATAAAATCTATAATTTGTTTGAATTATACTTGAGATCAATGTGATTGATAATGGTGTTTCATTGTTTAAATTAATCTAAAAATTATACATTTATTATGGTATCAGAAGCACATTTGTTAAAATGTAATTTTCCATTGATGTAATCAATATTTCATTTTTATAAATTTTATTTACTAATGATATATTTTGTCATTTATAATATTACTAAATGGTTAATTGTATTTGTAAGCAGCATATTTACAACTGAAGAACATCTGGAACTCAAAACAACTGTCAACCAATACCAACGTTAGAATTTTCAATGTGAAGACAGTTCTAATGTATGGGGCGGAAACCTGAAGAACTACGAAAGCCATCATCCAGAAGATACAAGTGTTTATTAACAGTTGTCTACGCAACAATACTTCGGATCCGTTGGCCAGACACTATCTGCAACAATCTACTATGGAAGAGAACAAACCAGATTCCAGTGGAGGACGAAGTCAGGAAGAAACAATGGAAGTGGGTAGGACACACATTGAAGAAAGCATCCAACTGCGTCATAAGGCAAGCTCTCACATGGAATCCTGAAGGCCGAAGGAGGAGAGGAAGACCAAAGAACACACTACACCGAGAAATGGAGACAGGAGTGAGAAAAATGAACAAAAATCGGACTGAACTGGAAAGGAAGGCTCAGGACAGAGTAGGTTGGAGAATGCTGGTTGGCTGCCTATGCTCCGTCGGGAATAACAGGCGTAAATAAGTAATTGTATTAGTACAATTGTCAAGTATCTTGCTGAATCTTCTATAATATTTCAAAATTTCAAGTTTAACTTTTAATTATGAAAACCCTTTTAAAGGTTAATAAATACTCCATTTGTACTTTTGAATGTATAAATTATGTTATAATGAAGTGTTAACATGTAGTTAGTTTAACGAAAAATGATGATTTTAATTGTTGAAATTGTCTGTTAAATAAACATGTTCAGATCTCAAATAGACGAGGTAAAATTTCGTTCGAACCCTGTACTATTCAAAATTTGTGAAAATGATCTACAATGAATGACAAAGTAATCCATCTTACAATTTCCCGAGAATGTTAAGGCTATAGAGAATTATACACAACACATGTAATAATACAGAGGTTCGAATCAAATCAGACATCTTAGGTGAGTAGATAATTAAAAGCCTACTATAATTCAAAACTGGTAGAAGTGCTGTAACGCAAACCAGCCTAAACCGTGGGAATTTCGATTGTTGGATTTAATTTCATAATTCAGGTCAGTGATCATCAAGATTTATGAGTTGTTTAAACAAGTCGTTCATGGAGGTTTCAATTTTTGTGATTAGTTCTTGATGACTCTCAAAATTTGGATAAGAATACACTTCGGATTTTGTGACTGGGTAATGTGAGATCATAGTTAACATATGTAATTCACGTAGAAGTTTGAAACGTGTTCAGAGGACCGAACTTTTTGGTTTATCATATAATTAATGACTTCATTTCCTTCAAGCTTTTAGGATTGTTCTACTTTAAGTTGAGGAATAACACTTAGATGTTTTGTCTATTTATTTAACTCGCAATCAAGTTTTTGAAAATAAGTTCTCAGAAACTTAAATATACAGGATCAAATCTCTTACTTCTGGAGACTTGTTTTTTCAACCGAGTCGTAAGCTACTTTGCCTTAACATGTAATATCATCAACTTTTGTTGAATGCAAGAATGAAACTTCGTAGTATATCTGTTCTTAAAAACGTTTATGACCGTGTGTTTTAGCAGTTTATGTAACTAGAAAGGATTTATTAACGCTAATGAGTAGGAAATCGGGTTACTAACCTAACACGGTAAGCTGTTTTACAAGCGATATTGCTTTTATCTTCTATGATCTTATTATATTTTAGGTTCATTGTAAAGCCTAAATTTTTGGCAGAAATTTTCCCGTAATGAATGAAAACTACTTGTTAAGAAATTCGCGAAATCTCCAAATGTTTTATCTGAACATTTTGTAACTAGACATGAATCAAGGATTATCAACCAGCATACATTCGCTGGTCTCTTGTGAAAAATACCTAAGGTGAGGGATCTTAGTCCACGATCCTGAGTTATTATGAGTTTAAAATGAGGTATGTCAAATAGTGATTTCAAAAAGATTATGTGGATTTTGAATACTTGCATCTTATTTGATCGTTATACATTGATTGTTATTATTAAATAGCTGTTTTTGATGTTTTTTTAAAGTCCAGTTACTAAATTCCCTTATATTGAATAACTGTGATGGTATTTTTGCACAATTCAGAAGTAAAAGTCAATTAACAATAAATTTATACCAAAATTGAATAAATAGTATGCTAGTTAAGTGCCGTCACCTTAGGATTTATATTTACTTTTGTATGGATTATGAATTAAATTTGTTGATATATCATGAATAGAACAGTGTTCGACCACCATTGAAAACCTGGAAGCACTAGACAGCTGTTTCGTCCTAGTATAGGACTCAACAAACCAAACGGACACGAACCGGGGACCTTCGGTCTCTCGAGAACATTTAACCTCCAGACCACTGAGCCGACATCCAACGGTGTTAATGTCTAACTTAACCCATTAACGATATTGTGCGACCATCCACCATTGTCTTCAGTGATTAACTGCCTCACAATAGACACGGTTGAACTCCACTGGTCATGGTTTATCACTAGAACTCCGGGAAATCCATTTTGAAGCCATCCACTAGTGAGTACTGTTGAAGAGTTCCATACTAGAACAAAACGGCTTACAGGTATTCCATGGTGGCGGAACATTGTTCCATTCATGATATATCAATCTAAACTCAACAAACTCTACAACTCTGCTGATAATTAAATATGCATCTACTATATTCATATTCTCTGGTATTCAGGGTTTGCAACTTGAGGGAGAGAAAAATTATTGTAATTATTTGTTCTGTAGAAGCGCTTAGCTGGATACATTTTTTATTTTTATATGTACTTCCGTATGACAACCTATTTTAACTTGCTTCCTTTTTAGAATAAATGCCAGAAAATCAGAAAATACAGTGTCAGTAATATTTAGTAGTTTTAAATGAGTGTATTTTTTCCACACAGCATGGTTTACACAGTTTTTAGCGAGTTTCTTGGGCTGTTGTCTTTTTTTGTGTGTGTACCACGTGAAACATCAAATTATACTGAATAAGTTTTATTTTTACAGCTAATGTTTCGTTATTAACATATCTATCTGTCTTAATAAGGTTGATGAAATCAAACTGGAAAATGTAACACACCTACTGAAAATGAAATTTACTGAGCATGAATAATAATTCATTGCACTAGCTACAGTTTATTAAGTGTGCTAATCGATATTTTTGATTAAAATAATATCTTTCGACATTTTGTTAAACAGTAATGATTGGACTTGCATGATTAAGACATCGAAATGCATTTACTGCTTCAAGCATATATATAAGTTGTTCCAGACCATCGACTTTAGGCAACCATCTGCAAAGTTTGTAAATGAAATTAGAAATGACATCATATAAAGTTAGAAACTCTTTGCGACCTATTCTTACTTACATAGCCTTGATGCTATCATTGTTATCCGAATCGCACATCATTTTGTTCAATAGGATTTTCAGGTTTTCGTATTAAATATGATTTACTTACTCATAATATCGGATACTTCTCACTTTAGATGACGGGAGGTCGTGGAGATAATTTTAAATTTTAAAGTGAGATTTTGTCAAAAAATCATCTCAGTTGAGATAATATCAAAAACCAGAAAATACTTGACAGCTGTTTCGTCCTGGTATGGGACTGATCAGCAGTGTAGATCACCAACATCATCAGGAAACGAAGCAAGAACCTTCGTCTTACATCACTAGGAGAAACATGAATGTCCTAGGTTCAATTGCTACGGAAGTCTGAGAATAACACTGCCGATGAGTCCCATATTAGGATGAAAGAACTATTCAGTATTGTCTAGTTCTTAACGGTACCAAGATCGAAATGAAATGGTAACCAATATTCTTCACTTGTCTTATAATTGTACATCTGGTCAGACTGAACTTAAATGAAAGCATCTTACTTTCTTTATCAATTCAACATTGTTCATTTATTACTTTTAACTTCTGTATACGGAGTTCTGCATTCAGTAGAATAATAACACTCCTAATTAATTTCGATTTCTATCATTATTTGGGATAAATTTGCTGATTGCTTACCCATAAATCATAGACAAAAACTTTCATTTCATCCGTGCATAAAGCTAACCATGTTGGTGTATTTATTCGCTCACTAATTGTGAAATTCAACACAGCATTATTGAGTGGATTACGTGAAGGACCAAATACCATATGATTAATTTCTTTATGTAAACAGATTACACCACTTGGTATTATCGAATCTTTATTCACAGATGATATACCAGAGTCATTTGTTAAATCTAACTCATAATTATTCAATTGATCATCGGATGTATGCTTTGTAAATTTATTCAAATCGCCATTATTATTACTATTATTATTACTCTTTATCATAGAAGTAGTGCAGTTGCTACTAATGATGCGGTCTTGTTGATTTGCAGTTCCATTTGACAATTTTTGCGTAGACAAAGAGTTTGATAAGATGGAGGAATCATTGAGATCAATAATATTATTTTGTTTACATTCTTTTGATATATGTACAACATTATAACTAGTTTCATTTTGTTCATACATCGGCCTACAAATAATTAAGAGGAAAAAGATGGAATTAGAAAACTTTATAGAATACCGACTACTATAAGAGTACAAAATTTCATATAACAACCCTCGTAGGATGGTATGCCAGAATCACTTTTGTTAAAAATATCAATAAATGTTGTAATTTCGGCGTATATAGCAGTATAGGGTGTTGTGGTGATTTAAGAATTCCCATAGATTTTAAATCACAAGCTGATATTTATGTGCTCACTGGCATTTAATTTCAAGATGCGATTCATGAAGTTTTAGTGAAAGTCTATGACCAATGGAACTCAATCGTATCAGGCATGAAGAAAATACCTATCAGAGACAATGAAAAATTGTCGCGCGAAATCTCAGACTGACTAAAACTAAACGTGCATGTCATCGGATTCCGGCTTAGTGATTTAAAGTTTAAGCGTTAGTGCTTAAGACTGAACGTCTTGGTTTGATTCCGTGATGTGGAGTTATGAATGAGCATCATTGGAGACTCCTATATTGAAACGAAATAACCAACCAGTGCTTCCAAACCTTTAGTAATAGTCTAAGATCAATTCGTTATTCAAAACCCATGAAAAAAATTGCTTACTTCTTCACATTATTTGTATTATCGATTGCGTGAATAACTTTAAATTTATCATTATATTGATATTTGGTTATAGATTTATGTTTAGGTTTTATATGATTATTTGTGATATTTGAAGTACTTGATTGACTTGTTGAATTTGAACTATATTCATAATCTTTTTCTTTATCCACTTCAATGTGTTTAGGCAATTTAGCCACTTGTTTTATTATACGAGGATATGATGGTAGTAACTGACTAGTATCTTGTAAACTATGTTGATCATTACCATAATTAGCAACACCATTAAAAGTATTTTTCTTCATATTACTATTATTATCATTATGATCGTACCATAACGATGATGAAGCTTTATAATCAATATCCAATATTTCTCTATCAATTGATTCAGTTGATGATTTGTTTGCATTCAATTCACTGCTTTGTTTGATAAGAGGATATTTTTGAGGAGGACTCAATCTGCATTATAAATAATTATATAAATATGTAATTATATATATATATATATATATATATATATATATATATATATATATAATGAACATATGAAAAAATAAAATGTATGTAGTCTGATGATGAGTAGTCTTTTTAATGTGTTGATACACATTTAAGTCTTGAAATTATACGACATGACATTGACTCAATGGTTTTAATAATCAAACTTTCTATGTGAGATCTTTACGTTCTCGGTTTGATCGTTAGTGGTATCATGGGTGATCATTGTTAAGGAGTCACATACTAGAAAAAAAAGCTATTTAATGTGCCCTAGTTTCTAGATATACCTCAACTGAGATCGATCTATGTCATATGCATCCTGAGAATTGTTGGTTAAATTTATACCATTTTAAAGTGTTATAAAGAAGAATGTTATTAATTTTTATTAAATGACCTTATTAAAAATGTCAATTCACAAAATGATCTTAAGAGATTATCACTGTGCAATCATTCTTTTTAATTAATTTTCGCAAATTGTTTTTTGTTTTTGTTTTAGGTGCTTATATGTTGAAACATGAATTAAATTTTGCAAATTTAATACATGATTTTATTAGATTATACTACGTAGTGATGATTTGAAATACGATTACATTTTCTAAATAATGAAGCTTGTTGTCATGATATTAATTTAATGTTTAAAAATCATACTATAACTTATTGAGAAGTGTATTGTTGAAAAACGTTATACTTTCTATATTATGCGCATCTTTTTGAAATGAAATAAAACAAATACTTTTTCATGCATCCAGCCTGCTTTTTTCAACTCTAAAACATAATTTTATCATGATTATTACCACAATTATTACTATTACTATTATTATTATTATTATTATTATTATTATTATTATTATTATTATTATTAGAAACTAGGTCTTTTCTGATGAATGAAATAATCAATTATTCGCTCCGCAATGTGTTGTTAAAATAGCCTATGTAAATCAACGAAACCTTGGATTAAACAACACATATAGTACAGCTCAAATCGTCTTCCGGCTAAATAAAAATAAAGGAATGGAAATTTTATTCAAATTGTTGCTGCTTCTAAGTGATATGATACATATTCTTTTAAGAACATTAATAAACTCATTTAAAGTGATATTAACAATAATTACGCGTTATGAATATTGATAGTAAAGTAAATTTTCCTTCTTAATACAGTTAGTTAGTTCTAGGCTCAAAATAAAATGTCCGCGTCTTTTTATATCCTTATGGATTGTTACTTATTTTACTTATTTCTGCTTTAGGTGATATAGCATTAACACCTAATACAAGTATAATTCACCTACTCATCTTAATTCTTATATTTTATCCTTTCACGATGCATAAATCAAATACAGAAAAGTTAAAACCAGTGCCAAAGTACTAAAAATATAAACAATATATAAACGGTTGCATCTTATCCCACTATGTTTATCAATTTAAATGTTTTTATGGACATATATATACAATACAGGACCAATCGTAATTTACAAAATCAGGCGGCTGAGCATCTACGAACATAGTTACAAAAAGCCAAATAATTTAATAAAGCAGATAACAAACACTCAACTTCTTCCATTATTATTATTGTTATTGCTTATTATTTTTGTGTTATAAGTTTGATGAGTGCAAAGGGAGGTGTAAAAAAACTATTTATTAATTCTAGTGCAGTTGTGAATAATAAACTAAGACCACGTTTGTTTCAATGTTTTTCAATGTTTCACATAGTTTTGACAAATCTCACACTGTATTATATACATTTATCAAAAATAAGTAAATGCTTCAAGTATATAAGTATGTGTACTGGTTTTCGAATTCCCCACATTCAGAAAAATTCAAATATTGACACCATGAGCCGATAAATGTTAAACCACCATTGAAAACCTGTAAGCGCTGGACGATGGATGCAGGCCTAGTTAAGCGTTCGCGCGAGACCGAAGGTCCTGGTTTCGATTCCAACGCGCAGGACCATGAGTGTGCACTACTGAGAAGTTCTACACTAGGCAGAAACCTTCGTCCAGTGCTTCCTAGTTTAGTTGGTTGGTTCATGATCTCAATAACAATTCAATAATCTCCACAAAGCTATACTGATTATTTCATATATCCCACAGTAATTTATTAAGTTCTTAAATACTGTATTGCAAAGGCGAAATATTAGTAACACAGAAAACATAAAAACAGAACTCATTTCAAATTCTTATAACGTAAATGGTTCTTTTGGAAATCAGTATGATTCATTATAATGAAGTTAATTTATTTAAAGTAACTTAAAACTGGCTAAATAACTTGTATAAGAAATGTTGAATTTTTTTGTTAACTTTCATTTCAAAATTAAATCAGTTATCACACTTCTAACATTAATATCATAAGTGTATTAAGAAGAAGCGGACAATTCACTATACTTTGTTTTTAAGTAAAAGTATAATAATAATAGTAATAATAATAATAGTAAAAACCCTATTGTTGGAAATTCCAAAACTTTTATTGATTGCTGTAGTGATTTCGCTATCCCATAGAATATGAATTCCAAATAATTTTCTCTATCAAAATGTTCCATAATCTTAGATAGATTTCATTTTATTAGGGTAGTATCATTTATTTAAAAAGAAAAAAACTCGAACAATGTATAGTAGCATTTGCTAATCATATATATTCAATTTTCTTTTTAAATACCTGTTCATTTCTTCCTTATTTATATCATTTTTGTAAATACATGGTTGTGATGCACTTTTACGTAATATAAACATTTGTGGTGGACTTTTAGATCTATTTATTGGTAATTTTAAATCATCACGATTTAATAAAAGTTTCTTTTTACAATCAGATTTTAAAGATTTTTTCGAAAATAAACGATCAGAACTTGAAAATTTATTCAATTTAGATTGTTTAAAATTTTGATTTTCTAAAAATGTTTTTGTTAAATTTTGATTATTACTGGAATTTATTGTAGTCGTTTGAAGTGAATGTTGATTTGATTGTAAAGATTGATATTCTATTGGTAAGTGAATTTCAATTTCGGAAGAACTTAAATAATTTTCTTTCGATAATGAACCATTTTTTGGTATATTTGGTTTTTTGATAATTTGTTGATCATTTAATTCAGAAAAATGATAATTATTTTTGGTTGATAATTTGTGTGATGGTTTGTTAAAAACTGGTGTATAATTTGTGTAACCATTTGATTGTGAACTTTGAATAAAACGATTCAGTAGTTCTTGTGAATAGAGATGATCTCTATTATAAAGTATAGTTGAATCTATATTGAAAAATAAAAATGAAACTGTTCAAGTAAGTAGTACATCAGATATCGATACAGTCATGTTAAATATTTAGGACATTTTAATTACTGTATGAAACACTCAAATATTTTGATGTATTTAAACAGTTCATAACATTACTCTATAGTTGAGGACCCTTTTTGATTTTCAAGGGTTAGTATTCCCTCCGCCGCTGACGTTCCAAACCACAACTCGTAAATTTATATTTGTATATGTGCATATTTGAGGAATTGTCTTGATATTGTCGTTTAGTCATAAGTTTTTATTAAAGGTATATATTGGCAGGAAGTGGAATTTATGAAACGCTTTTCATCTTAGAACTTATCATCTGGATGTACCTGACATTTCAAGGAAATCTGCTCGGTAAGCGCGTATCCCAATAAAGACTGATAAATTGTAACCCTTGAGATTAACGATAAAAATTTAAAGGTCTTTCAAATCAAAATGATATCCCTCATCCAGGTCACTGGCCATTTGGATTCAGTAGTTCACTGAACAATGCGTTAGTATTAGAAGCAAAAGGTACAGAGTTCGAGTTGCAGTGAGAATATCAATACTTAGTTGGAGGTTTCCTGAAGCGGAAGCATCCATACTAGGACAAAGTACTAGTCCCATTTGCCACTGTTAGCTACGATCCCATTTTGATGGCAACTACTTCATATTTTAGTCCAAATTTCACACTTAATGAGTATTGATTGTGGTCAGTAACGCAATAAAGGATGACGTTAAAATGACCGTTAGCTTTTTCCTTAGTTTTAAGAATAAATGTCAACAGTATAACCATAAATATTTTTAAAAAAGTGATTGGTCTAAATCCTATCTAAATATGTGCTCAAAATGTCTAGGTGCGCACATTTTTGATCCTTAATATATAGAGGTTTAGCAAGGTGAGAAAAAAATCATCTTTGGCTATGACCACATTCAATCTCCAGTCTGAACTACTGATGGCTAGATTACTAGAGCTCATTGTTAATAGAAAGGTAATGAATGCACAAATTATTGATATTACTGGGTGACAGGTATGGGAAGTGCAATGGAGGAATAGGTGAAAAACTAGTTGTGAATTCTGAATTTAAACCACAGTTGTTTTAAAGTTTTTCTTATAATTAGTATATTATTAAATCTTGCGCGGGTAAAACTCAATAAACATTGGTACAAGGAGGCACCAAAGAGATATGCGCCACATAAATCATCCGATTTATGTGAGGACTAGGATACTGTCCGGGTGCCCAAACCTAAACAGGTGATTTTCTTAGGGAGCCACACCCGGAGCCTTCAACCAAAAGGTCTGATCCACAAGGCAGTGGAGCATCGTAAGGAGATGTAGTCCTATGGTAGTCGGTGACCAACGATTGGTTCATACGCCATTTGTTTCCTTAGGATCCTGGAGCACATGTGTGCGATTGGTTTGGAATCAAGGTTTTCCAACTTTCCTAGGTGGATCCTCTGTATCCACCAACCCTGTTAAAGCGCCTAACATTCGCTTTTCGTCCTCTCAATTTAGTGAACAACACCCCTATCGCGAGAAGGCAGTGAGTAGGACTTCCCTGGCAGTGTCTACATACACGTGGCATTTGGAGAGGGAGAACTGGCTGTCCCCACTCTCGGCCATACCAGGGTATTTGGGGGCTAGTAGCAGCTATGTTATCAAACGTTATAATATGTTATTATTAACTACCTCATATAAAACATATTTAATAATAGAATTTAAACTGTATTCTTTCTAGTTACCTATTGTTATCATGTGAACAAGATTAGCGTATAGGAAATAAATAACTTAAAGTTAATATTTGTCAATAACTTGACAGAATTTTTTTTCTTTTATTAAATTTTTGTTTCAACAGTAAAAGAACTATGTACACAAAATTTTTATAATTCAAAGTTCCTTTCTTTCTCTCACATCTGATATCAATACAACTATGTGATATTTTATTACAAATGATGATCACCTGATTGTTAGGTCATTCCTGATAAAAAGTAGATTTACAATTTATTTTAAAAATAGTAATATAAAACTGTATTGAACATATACCATAATAAAGTATATTTCATAGTGTAATTTGTTTAAATGTTACTTCGGTTTTTATATTATTTTGTTCATTTGAATAATAGGAAACATGGTGATAGATCTACATAAATTTTTTTTCATAAAATCCATTTAGTGTTCTTATATTTATTCATATGAATTTTCATAATAGTCATTGGAAGCAAATATAAGTAATGAAAATAACTGATTAATGTTATGTTTTGATTGATCTGACTAAACTTAGCTATTTATAAACCTAGTTAATTTTTATTTTCATGTTAGTATAGACATTGATTCGGTATGTGTATTTCATGTAAACAATAATCAGAGGTACACATTAATAAATACTTGAAATTCTTAAATGTTGTCTTTTTTTCAACATTTGTATAGTAACATGAGTTAGAATTCTGCACAGTAAACCTACTATGTGATCAGAAATAAGATAACACTTAGTTGTTATAATTCGGTAAATCAACAACAAGGCTAAATTGCTCAGATAGCCAGTATAAAATAGATATTGACAAATAGGTAGAGTGGTAAATAAAAGACTGTCACTTCATTTTCTATTCTCAAACTAGACGTCAAAACAAACAAGTTTTGGATATTTGCAGTATATGCTCTTATTTTTAAACTTTAGCTGTAAAAAGTCGTCTCAACTCCTCTTACAAATAACACTACTAGGCCTACATACTCCATGTTGTTTAGTGTAATGTCATTCAATCAGCAATGCGTAAAGTGTTGAAACTAAACACCAACACCTCTAATAGTAATACGTGATTATTTCTAGTGTGCTCAAAGCGATCGCCCTATCTTAGAAAATATTTTTTCGTGTTTCTTAAAGTCCCAGAGCGAAAGCAATAAGTGTTATCAGTAACAGTACATACTGTTCGGTAACTTAGATACTTTTGCAAGTTCCATTAGTAAACAGAGTCAGCTAATGACCGATTCTGGGCTATGTCATCCAACTACTCACTGCGGTTGTCAAATGGACTCTGAACATGTAATCTGAACCTATTATCATGGCTCATATTAACAGTCTCTGATTCAATGTATTGATGACACGTTTAGATTTACTTATCTCAAGCTTTTTTCCAAATTACTCCTAGGAAACCTAGCATCTGCACTTGAATTTGGCGCTGGTTTAGCATAAACCAAGCAGACAAATATTTAAGGCACAGAAGCATTTAGAAAAAATTTTGTTTCAACCAGTTACTCAAAAAAGCGAATGAATTGTTGATAGATTTTCTTCGAAAATTACTAAGCCTAGTGTGATCTTTTGATTGCAACCAGGACAGATATGATGTCATCCTGTTTTTCTAAGTCCATGATGACCAACAACATATGATCTTAAAGGTAAAGCAGATGATATGAATCGTTAGGACGAGGTATTTGTCGTAAGCGTAATGGTCTGTCAGTAAAACCACAGTAAGTATCTAGGTATGCGAAGCTTCATAAAATTCATCTGTCTGGCAGTTCAAAGACGGTTGTTGACTGTAGTTCAGTGAGTTAATGGGAGCACTTATAACTAAAGTATACTATGATCTATCAAATGAATATTTATAATGTTACAGCCGTCTTTTAAAAAACCTCATTTTCGTAGAGAAATTCTCGGAGTTAAAAGATATGATAGTGTAGCGTAGAGGAGTTGCGTGTGTAAATTGTTACATCCACAATCAAAATATAGTATAGTTAAGTTTTCAAAGCCTCACCTTAATGAAAGCAGCTAACATTCCACAATTAATTATTCATTATGACCATTCCTCTGTCTACCTTCCTGATATTCAGGAACCTGAAAAAAGGTCTTTCTGGCTAGAAAGCTAAATGTAGGCATCGAAATAATCCAATCTGATTACTATATCAGTGTACCGACATTCAGTTAAGAGCGTTTGCAGTTTTCCTATAAATAATTCACATACCATACCAGTTTACTTTTTAAAAACCCTAAGGTGTATGGTTGTATAAGCTATGAATATATTGAACCTTAACTTATCAAAAACATTTTTTCGTAAACTGTATGGTAAAACGAAGTAATAAAAGACAAAACTCAGTAAAATTTCATTTCTTACTTAAATTGTGTACAGGTTTTCTATCTTTTAATGTATAATTTGGCGAAATCATGCGGTAATTTGAACCCAAGTTGAATGTTCCTTCATCTACACTATTACGACTTCGTTCTTGTATTCTTGCTAAAACATTATTATTATATGTATCAGTATTAAATACTTGATTATCATTACTATCTAAATTATTTAGTCCACATTCAGCAGATTTGAAATTTTTACTTATATATAGTAAATTATTATGATGCTTAAATGAATTCATATTATGCATTTCAGGTGAATGAATTGGTATTGTATTAGTGTTACTTGCTGAATGTACATGTCTTGCATTGTTTATATTTTCAATGAATGAATATTGAGATTGGTCATAGTTTTCTAAATAATAAGAAAAATGAAATAAAAAAAGAATATGTAGATTATTACTTGGTGTGTTAAGTTTAAATCATTTTGGGTAAATGTGTTCATTTTGAAATAAAATTACAAATGTGCTTACTTTACTCAAAGTTAAGTGTCAATAATATTCAACAATCTCTACAGTTTCCTTACTGATTACCATCATGTGGTTACTAGTGATTAGCTTCATGAGAGGAATTCAGGGGTTCCATAGGAAAGCTGTGACCAGTGAAGTTCAACTATGTAAGGCATGAGTAAGGTATCTATTGAAATTAAACGCTCAGTAGTTTGGAGATAAAGTGTTTACTCTAGAGACCAAAGGTTCCGAGTTAGACTCCAATTGGTAGGTTCCTGGGTGTGTATTCCTAAGAAGTCCCATACTATAACGAAGAAGTGATTCAATGGTTATCTAACCAGAATGGATCCGTGATCTTACTAACATTTAACCATTTTCACGACTTCTATACTAATGAAAGTAAAACCAAGAAAGTAAATATCACATTAGTAAGTTGTCGATATCTGGAAATGTTTAAAATGATCTTCATTATATGTTCATTTAACCAACCATAAATCATACATCTATAACTGGGATTATGGATAAAGGTGGAGTTACAAACCTTGCGATCACAACACTAGTTTTCACAGTATTTACCTTACGATTTTTGATTGTGGTGATTTATTCGTCCGGAAATTAACAATTCGACACAAAAAGGACATTTATCAGCGTTTATATCTAAAATGGTTTGTTGAGAACGAGTGCACGAATTACTTAGACATTGAATACCTTCTATCAATAGTAAATTAGCTAATAAGAACATCACCAATGTGAAAAATAAACAGGTTCCCATGTAATGTTGTCCATGAATCTCAGAAAAATTAATGTAAACCATTTTTTATGTGAATAAGATCTAAAGAAATGTAAACAGTTATTTTTACTACATATTTTTTAGATACTCAATAGTAATGTTAAAACCTAGTCTGTAAATAAGTTGATTAAATTTTCTCTCCTCAAGATTTTCAGTCTTGTTCTGCGTATCTGTAATTAGCCCTTAAACATTCGTTCATGTGTACTATTACATGTTGTATACAAGTAACTATATGGAAATGAATATCTTTCAGATACATTGTATCTAATGATCATGTTGTTTGTTCAGATTATCACTTTCATCACATGATCCATATTTAAAAATATATCCCGTTGATATTTTAGATAGTTTTATTGCATCATTTTTATCCAATTTGTTTAGTTCATTACAATCAAAAGTATATCTCTAAATTTCATGAGATACATGTTACTGATATTGCATTTTAGTTACTACCAACATAAAAGACAATTTTTCATAGTACTTAATGATACTCATAATTTTTATCTATACTTTAAATGATATCACTTTATAATATTAAACTACATTGGAACATAACTTCACAGTATCAAGAAGATTTCTCCTCTTTCAATATAATAATTGATGTAAAAAGCTTAACAATTTTATTAGTATACTGAATGAACAATTCACTTTTTTCAAAGAATAAAGAGGAAAAAAAGAAACACAAAATAAAAATGAATATAACTTCATCTAAACTATTACATACATGATCAAAATACTACAGAAACTTCAATTAAATAAATTAAGATTTATTTCTTAGTTTTTATTAATAAATAGATATATAGTTAGATAGATAAATAGACAAATAGAAGGTATGTATAATATTACTTAAATCAATTAAAAGTTACTGAAATGTGTAAATCATAATATGAAAGAAAACTGTGAATTAATTCATACACATTAACAATAACAACAACCCCAACAAGGAGAAAAAACACTATTTGGTTATATGAATGTATGTATCCATGTATTTATATGTATATATGATTAATAATGTTATTATTTATTAATTTTTTTTTAATTAAAAACTAATTGGAATACTTGTTAAGGTTGATGTTTAGTTTAGATATTCTATTTAAGAGAAAAAAAAGAATAGTTTAGTAAATTTACATATTTTGGTAAAAATGAATTCCAGAATATTCTGTTGATACATGATTTCACTATAAGGCAACTCGTGATTTCATCAAATATATTCCTATTATTATTATTATTATTATTATTATTATTATTATTAGTAGTAGTAGTAGTAGTAGTAGTAGTAGTAGTAGTAATAGTAGTAGTTGTTGTAAAATAATCATTTCGACGGGGAAGGGGGCAAAGTGGGCAGTATAGGTATGTTTACATTAGTACAGAAAAAAAAAGAATAGTGAATATTGTTTTCCTGTTTAAATAAATATTTAAATTACTACATCATATATTATAAGTATTTATTATACAAGGTTGTTTAATTTTGGTACGATATGTCTAAATACTAACGAAGTGTAAAACTAGTAAATTAACAATGGATTATGATAATAGATTAAGATAATTAAAACAAATGTCTTTATAACAACATATATAAGCGAACAGTATTGTTTTCGATTAAATCCTCATCAGGCTTGAATCTAATATACAGTAATATTTATATGTATATACGAAATTATTAAACCAATCAAGGTAGTTTATGAGTCAATGAGAACAGTGGAATAGATTGCACAAATAAGTGAAAAGTACAAATTAGTAGTGTAATGACAAGTGTACTAATTGTGATGAGAATAATAAAGGCTTGAATCAATGTTACATAATGGGAAATAGGTGAATGATTAGAAAAATATAGACACTGAAATAACATTCATAACAGTTATAAGATTACGTAATAAGAAGTGTTCAGATAATTGGACCGTGAAACGTATATTTGAGAGAAAATAAAATAAAATGGTGGGAGCGGGTGAAGATAAAAATAAAAAACGAAGAGCGATTATGGAAAATAATAATAATTAAAATCATTTATTCAGGTCAAGGGAGATATAAGGGTGTTACAAATTTCTTATGAACACAGAGACTTGGATTGTTGGCTCGAATTCCTATATCTTCTGTTATGCATAAGAGACGAGATCAAACCCCATAGGGAAAACTAGTAGGAATACGATAAATAACTTTAAATGACTTATTTCTGTCTACTACATGACCGCTATCGATCAAGTGTGATAGAACCGAGCTGCGTATTGTCTTGACAGTACCTTGTCCTAACCACGAACGGAAGTGTTCACTAACTCTTTGGTCTAGTTGTCTGGTAGTGCGCCCAATATAGCTTTCTCCACAGGAGCAGCTGAATTCGTAGATAGACATAGAAGTGGCATGACCAAGTAACTTATCATTTAGTTTAGGAATCACCATAGACCGGATCGAGTACGATAGAGAGAGGTTAGCTGCATTAAACGTTCTTTTCACTGCTCTAGTTAGTCTATCACGTAGTACATCACCAGTTACATCATTGAATTGCAGCTTCAAGAAGAGAAGTTTATTTTTATTTGTGTAATCTATCCCACTGTTCTCATTGACTCATAAACTACTTTGGGTGTCTTAATAATTTCGTATATGCATATAAATATTACTGTACATTAGATTCAACCTGATGAGGATTTAATCAAAAACAATATTGTTCGATTATATATTTTGTTCTAAATCACAATATGGGAATTTTTCAAATTTTAAATGTCTTTATGTCATTAGGGGAATGATATAAATATATACCATTGTATTGTAATAATAAATATTTTTAATAATGAATCCAGCTTATTTGTCAAAATCTAAAATTTTCATGAGAATTATTAGATTAGATTACCTTTTGAACAATTCTTACTCGTGGCTTTTTAAACAATCTATTACTTTTGAATTAAAGTATTACTAATAGCTTTATGATAAAAAACATTTTAAGGTAAAAAAAAAATCTAATTCCTTTCACTTATCCACTTACCGGATTTTTTAATATCGTTATATCCGTACTTAGCCATTTTCAAACAATTCAGCTATAATAAAATAAAAGCAACAAGGCATTAAATGTTTAATTACTACGTTCTTATAATACTTTCAAAGTTAAATTACCCCAATTAGGATGTTGAATATAATCTCGTGCATAGTGCAAACACCTACAGTTTATCACTGCAAACCGGAAGTTCTAATTCAAAGGTGATTGATACAAGTTATTTTATTCACTTTTTCAGAACTCAAACAAAAAGTAATTTCCTTTATATATATTACGTCCTGACGTGGTGGTCGGACTTGCTTACCTATCGTGATGAAACAATCGAGCTATACTGGCTAGAACAATCATTCCTCAAGGTCCTGCCATGTCAGACAGGTCGGTTGAAGAGCGGTAAGACTGGAAGCAACAAACCCAAGGTCTGAGGGCGAAGTCCTACTGCTGACCGTACAAAAGTGTGACGGCAGTAAGGTTTCCTTCAGACAACCAGCATGACAGTGATGCAACCTTCCCACAAAAAGAGGTGGGGTTAGAAAAGGTCAACCCTAAAAATACACACCTCCCACGGATATCCGTCTCCAGCGGTAAGGTCTCAATAAGTACGGAGCTAACACAAAAACTACTCATAAAAAGGTCGTGTGTGACCGACCTCAAGCAGTTGTCCCTTGGGCATTGAAGTCACGTTCTTAAGTCACTAAGACAACCTTTAATCCAATTTCATTTTCAGGTACCTCCAGAAGAACCCTTCCACGGTGTGGGCAACCGGGAAGTAATAAGCGCCATCATACCTCTAACAGCACTCAAGACTGACTGATATATATTACCTCTTATGAACGACATCATGTCATTTTACTTTACAGTTGGACCAATATTTAACTCTAATTTAGTTATATTTGTTTATTGGGGCAATTTATGCAGCCGATATTTCAAATTCCATACATGGATCATGTTGTTGAGTAAGTTATGTCAATTACTGTATTTTATAATGTGTGATTATTGACCGAATATACAAACCAATGTATCTTGTTATAGTTGTTGACCGGTAGTTGATTCATTTGTGATGTATGACTGATCCTCATCTACAGTATTGGCTTCTACAGAAAACAGGGCCATGCCCGTTATTGTTCAGTTGTGACAAGTTGTAAGTAGCACATTACTGCAGCTGTGAATAAGTAGTCATGTATGTCAGCGTCGTTATATCTGTAATATAACAACCAGAGCAACAATTTTTATAGGTACATGGAACGTCGGGACAATGTGGGAGACCGGGAAGACCAGTCAAATAGCAACGGAAATGAGGAGATACAACTTGGCAGTACTGGGAATCAGCGAAACCCATTGGACCCAAGCTGGACAACAAAGGCTAAATACAGGAGAGATGCTGCTATACTCCGATCACGAAGAGGAAAATGCTCCACACACTCGGACAGTTGCTCTAATGCTGTCCAAAGTAGCACTAAATGCACTTGTAGGATGGGAATCTCATGGATCCAGAATCATCAAAGCATCATTCAAAACAAAGAAGGAGGGGATCACAATGAACATTATCCAATGTTATGCACCCACCAATGATAGCAACGACGACGTTAAAGATCAATTCTACGAGAGGCTGCAATCAATCATAGAGAAGTGCCCAAGAAAGGACCTCACCATTCTGATGGGAGATCTAAACGCCAAAGTCGGAATAGACAACACCGGATATGAAGATATCATGGGACTGCATGGACTGGGAGAGAGAAACGAAAACGGGGAAAGATTTGCAAATCTGTGTGCATTCAACAAATTGATCATAGGCGGTACAATATTTCCACACAAACGTATACACAAAGCTACATGGATCTCACCGGACCACACCACAGAGAACCAGATAGATCATATTTGCATCGATAAAAAGTTCCGAAAGACAATGGAAGATGTGAAAACCAGGAGAGGAGCGGACATAGCTTCAGATCACCACCTGGTTGTGGCCAATCTAAAACTGAAGCTAAAGAAGAACTGGATATCTGGACAAACAGCACCACAAAGATTCAATACAGCCTTCCTTCGAGATACTGACAAACTCAATGAATTCAAGATAGCGCTCAACAACAGGTTCCAAGCCCTACAGGATCTACTGAAGGAAGAAGAAACTACTATGGAGGATAACTGGAAAGGTATCAAAGAAGCATTAACTTTAACGTGTCAAGAGGTTCTGGGCCCCAAGAAGCATCATCACAAGGAATGGATCTCCATAGAAACACTGGACAGGATCAAAGAAAGGAAGAACAGGAAGACAACAATGAACAATAGTCGAACAAGAGCAGAGAAAGTTCAAGCACAAGCTGAATACATAGAAGCAAACAAGAAAGTGAAGAAAAGCATTAGAGCTGACAAGCAAAAATACGTGGAAGAACTAGCAACGACGGCGGAGAAAGCTGCAAGAGAAGGAAATATGAAACAGCTTTACGATACAACGAAGAAACTAGCAGGGAAATATAGTAAACCAGAGAGACCAGTCAAAGACAAGGAAAGAAGACCAATCACTGAGACTCAGCAACAGCGGGACAGATGGGCAGAGTACTTCGAGGAACTCCTGAACAGGCCGGCTCCAATGAATCCACCGGACATCGAAGCAGCACACACAGATCTTCCTATAAATGTCAATCCACCAACGACAGAAGAAATCAGAATGGCCGTCAGACAAATCAAGAGCGGGAAAGCAGCAGAACCTGACAACATACCAGCTGAAGCGTTGAAGTCAGACATCAAAGTAACTACAAACATGCTTCATCTTCTATTCAAGAAGATTTGGGAGGAGGAACAAGTGCCGATGGACTGGAAAGAAGGACACCTCATCAAGATTCCAAAGAAAGGAGATCTGAGCAAGTGTGAAAACTACAGAGGCATTACACTACTGTCAATACCAGGAAAAGTCTTCAACAGAGTGTTACTGAACAGGATGAAAGACGCAGTAGACGCTCAACTTCGAGGTCAACAAGCTGGATCCCGTGAGGACCGGTCGTGCACAGACCAGATTGCGACACTACGGATCATCGTCGAACAATCAATTGAGTGGAACTCGTCATTGTACATCAACGTCATTTATTATGAGAAGGTATTTGACAGTGTAGATAGGAGGACGTTATGGAAAATTCTCCGACACTACGGAGTTCCTGAGAAGATTGTCAATATTATCCGGAACTCATGCGATGGACTACAGTGCAAAGTAGTGCATGGAGGACAGCTGACTGACGCATTCCAAGTAAGGACCGGAGTCAGACAAGGCTGTCTACTCTCTCCCTTCCTCTTTCTTCTGGTGGTCGACTGGATTATGAAGACTTCGACATCTGAGGGAAAACACGGCATACAATGGACAGCTCAGAACCAATTAGACGACTTGGACTTCGCAGATGACCTAGCCCTCCTATCACATACATACGAACAAATGCAGACAAAGACAGCCAGTATAGCAGCAGTCTCGGCATCAGTAGGCCTCAAAATACACTAAGGGAAAACCAAGGTCCTCAAACACAACACGGAGAACAGCAATCCAATCACTCTTGATGGCGAAACTCTGGAAGATGTGGAATCCTTCACATACCTGGGAAGCATCGTCGTCAAACAAGGAGGTTCAGATGCAGACGTAAAGGCGAGGAGTGGCAAAGCAAGGGCGGCATTCCTTCAATTAAAGAACATATGGAACTCAAAACAACTTTCAACCAACATCAAAGTCAGAATCTTCAATACGAACGTCAAGGCAGTTCTACTGTACGGAGTTGAAACGTGGAGAACTATAACAACCACCATCAAGATAGTACAAGAATTTATCAATAGCTGTCTACGCAAGATACTCAACATCCATTGGCCGGATACCATCAGCAACAGCCTTTTGTGGGAGAGAACCAACCAGCTTCCAGCTGAAGAGGAAATTAGGAAAAGACGATAGAAATGGATAGGACGTACATTGAGGAAATCATCAAACTGCATTACGAGACAAGTGCTAACTTGGAATCCTAAAAGGAAGAGGAAAAGAGGAAGGCCAAAGAACACATTACGTCGGGAAATAGAAGCAGATATGAAAGGGATGAATGAGAACTGGAAAGAGCTTGAAAGGATTGCCCAGGACAGGGTTGGATGGAGAATGCTGGTGAGTGGCCTACGCTCCTTCACGGGGAGTAACGTGCGTAAGTAAGTAAGTAATATACACTCTGAAGTTTAAATATTATGCACTATTATGCAACGAATGCTGTAAGCATTAAGGAATTTAAGTTAATTAATCCATATGACATAATGTAAATTTTAAGAAACAAATTATTTTGCTTAAGGACCATTTATTGGTATTAAAAAATAACAGAATGATGAGCTGACATCACATAACACTAATCTTGGTGTTGAGTCTCACTGAGAACTAAGCTTATAGAACTGAATCAGGCTTAAAAACTAACAAAGACCACATTAATTTTTACTCGGAGACCGACTGTAGTAAAAACGGTAATGATATAAAAAAATTCGGTGTCAAAAATGGTCGGTAATAATAGATTTTGTATTGACATTTTTTAGATCCTGTCCTAATTCTTCAACGATACTCCAAACAAATAGTAGCTAGGATGAAACGTGGGTCCACGACTCTCTACCAATGGTCTACAGGCGATATATTTCATCATAAAAATTGCTTCGGACAGAATAACGTGTATTATTTTGCTTCCTTAAATACTTCCGAAAAAAATTCAATTTCGATAACTGACGTAAAACTACGTAACTAATTTGGAAGACCAATTGTACTGTTGAAACAGTAATGGGTTATCAAATACTGAAAAAAATGTACATGATACCTCTTAACTTTAAGAAGTAAAATTTACGTCAACTGACAGAATGACGATTTCGCTAAATAATCAGGTTTCATGAAAGAGAACCACAAAGCCTTCTGACAATTATACCATCATTGACCGTAAAAATTCTATTTATTAGGTATATACCACAAATGATTACATACCCTACAAAACGAAGCATATTTTTATGATATTACCAATTGCTTTCATATCATACTGAACATTACTTGATTGTATTATCAAAAAACAATCAGTGAGATAGAATCTTATCATAATTGAATACAGCCATAGAGTGACATCAACTAAGGAACCATTTTAAAGCAGAAAGAACCAGTCAACTATCCCATTATAATTGAGGGTGAAAATCTATATTCAGTGACCAATAGTTGATCTTGCCACAGTGTAACAAATTCCATATTATCCATGACGTCACAATAAAAGAGGATACTAAGTTAACAAACTGTATACGTTTACCAACAACCTGACTTGTCATTTGAAGATCATTTACAAGTAAAACGATTTTCCATGTTGAATGTCATGATTTTAAAGAATACTAAATAATATTTGGAAGAAAACACGTGCAACTGAATTCGACACTACACTTCATGAGATCAAGTTGAAATATATAAATTGACAAGAGTTATTAACTATATCAAACGAATAAGCACAAATAACAATGTCTCGTCGTTTATACTAAGAATTTGTTGGTAGTTGTTTTGCGACAATAAAATCTCATTAATTAAGCAAGAGAACAAAAGGAGTAATACGATACCAGTTGATTTTACCAAAAACATTAGTTTTATTATAATACTGATTTTAACATGTATTCATCCTGATATATGCATATTTGTGAATACTCCAGCCTCTTTAAAGTGTATTGTCTTCTCATATAATAAAATTGAAGCATGAATCAAGTAGACGAAACAAAATGTTGTGAAGACATTTTACGGATAATTTATTTAAAACAGTTATCAATGGTGCAACCTAAAGTAAATCTTTTATGCTTTCGATTAGAGTTTCCTATTTTTAATTATCTTCAGTTTCGAATGGTAAAACTGAGATATGGAGTCACTTACGGTGAAAAACGTTTTTGTGGTTGAAATACGGATAACTAATTCTACAATCGCGTGGACTAATATGGAAAATTTTTCAATAGGAATTGACTTTTCCAAACCAGTTGCTTTACGTTTAACAATAACAAGATTTTATTTTCAATAGATAAACAACATCCACATTCGTGCAAGCAGAAGGTAACTCTAATTAAAGTTAGTTGTTGGTTATCAGTACTTCGGCGTATAACATCAACGAATTTGGAAAAGTTTGAAAAACGTATAAATCCCTCGGATAACCCATATAAATAATTACAAGTACGATCTGTAAATCAAATGGGGATGTGAACGTAGAATAAAAATCACATCTCCTGGATCTTTAATCACCATATTTGAAGAATAAAAGGCAATTGGCGTACATATATATATATATATATATATATATATATATATAATTCTCACACAATCAAACATCTAAAACGTCTTTGCCTAAACTTACAAACAAAAAACGTATATTGTAAAGTTACCCAACATCACTAAATAACGGCTAGCCTTGGTGGTATTTCAACCAAAAACGATGTTTCAGTCGTTAGCTTTTGTCTATTACTATTTGTGGCAAACTGGTTAAAAGTTGATAGTAATTGTTTAAACTAAAATCTTAAAAATATTTGCAAATGACCCGGATGAACCTATTTTTGTGGTAGTAGATAAGAGACTGAAGTCCAACAGATTCTACCGGTATTGTAAATATTTAATATAAGACGTCGATAACTAACACCATTATTCACCATCTATGTTTCTATGTGACGTTTTTTCAGACATTCTACTGGTACCAAGAAAACTATAATTTTACCTAAAGATAAACAATGTCTATTAACTAACCTTGTGCAATTTCAGCCATTCACGCTCTAACAAAACCTGAATATTTAATTGTTGAGCGTGAAGCATACTTAACTTTGTTAACTGTTTATTTAGCTGACATTCGTAAAACTCATATGTGTTGAGATTTGTATTTGGTTGATAAATATGCCCAAAATGTTCAGAATTAGTGAAGTTGGGGTCGACAACACATTGATCCTCAACGAGTTTATTGACTCTAGGTGAACATGGCATGGATTGAACTGTTTCAGGAAACAACTGTTGTATTTGTGAATCGTCGGATATATATTGGTCATATTCTTCAGGTTCGGTAATGAAAGTTTGATTTGTCTGATGTCGAGGTAAGTGTGAGTAGAGGTGGCCCAAATTAGGAGTTGAAGTGGACATATTGGATGGCTCGTATCCAAAGCTTTCTCGGTCATGACATAACAAACTGTTATTTTGAGCAGACGTTTTACTAACCGTTGGATTTTCACAAATATGAGTACTTTTTAAATGAAACTTATTCGTCTCATCATCTTCAAATTCTTCGACTAGTCCTAATTTTGAATCACGAGTTCTTTTGTCACTAACAACACTAAGTGAAGAATCATGGTTTGATGCGCTTCTACTTTTATGATAACGATGATGCTTCTATATGATTGCCAAAAAGAATACAGTTCAAAGAGATGTCTCAAAAAGTAAGAAAAAATATATATTTAAATATTCTGGATAAATCACGTTTTAGTGAAAAGTAAAGTAAAGTTAGTGGCGTAACTGTGAGTTTATACATGAATTTTCTGAATCTGGGTAGCGAAAACTTAAGGATTGAGTCTTATAAATAAAAAAAATAATGAGAACTTTCACTGTTACTTATTTCACACACTATAAAAGATGTCTTTTTCACTGATGATAACAAGCCAAACCCCTAATCCTTGTGTCGAAAGTAGAGAAGATGGTGATTTTAATAGTCATTTGTTTTATTAAGATAAGTTGTTTCTTTTTTGTGAAGATGTAGACAAACAACTAGGCTTTGAGGCTTTTCTAACAAACCATTAGTTTAAAATTTTGTTCTGTAAAACGGTTCAAATCTTTATTCGCAAGTAAAGGCGAGAACATGAAGGTTAACTAAGAAGAGTGATAATAAGCAAACTCAACATTAAAACGCATCCAATTTTTGACAAAGTGTAAGACATTGGCATTCAAGTTAATGGATTAGGATCCCAGTTTCTTGTAACAGATCTTGATTACTGATTTACAATTTATTTGCTTTATCGTATTTTCCCCACCACCATGTTATTGCCAGCATAAGCCTAAAAAAGTACACGTTTCTAAGTAGATAAAGCTTTTGAATGTATACGTATCATTTAACTTAACTAAAAGCTGAGTTTGATGTCCGTCAGATAAGAATTAACTTCTAGATGATTGTGGTTTTGTGGTGTTTGAATGAACTAATAACTCATTTGTACTTATTGAATGCCTGATTTCAAATTCTAAATACAATACATTCGTTCGTGTTTATCTAGTAGTTCTTGATCCACTTACGTGATTTCTGGGATTATTAGTTCATACTGTGATTCAAATTCTTCTAATTATCATATTGACGTCGCGATGGGGTCTGCAATGGAACAGTTAGATATTCATTCAACTTCTGAAGCTTTTGAGGACTATTTGGAAAGGTTTGAAATCTGGAGCACGACCAAGAAAGATGATGAGGATATTAATATTGTGGTACATTTTCTCACATTCATTGGAAAAGAAGCATATGGCTTATTAAAAATTTTGGCTTCACCGGAAAAGCCCATTTCTCTTTCTTATACAACTCTCAAGGAACTACTTCTAGACTATGCTAAGTATACAAATTTCGAATGCGGTAAAGGGAGATTTCATAAAATAATTTATGAGAATATAAAAAATTCCACTATGTTACGTCACCCCATCCCAGTGCATACTCAAGGTTGTGCAGTTCACGAAGACGGGCACAAGTTTAGTCAATGTTTTTCTTGTGGCAAGTTCCACCCTTTTAATTCATGTAAATTTCGTAATTGTAAGTACTTTAAATGTGGTGATGTTGGACATACTCAGTCAGTTTGTAATACTACTGTTCATCTTGCTGCAACTAATATTAAGTCTTTTGATTTTGATTCTATTAATTTGAATATTTATAATGTTCATTTATCTTTATCGACGATTTCAAAAGACAGTTTAGAGTCATATAGCAGTTCATAATTAAATGAAACTCAGAATCCTTGCGAGAAGACAATTTCAAATGAATCAACATATCAGATTTCTCGTGTTATTGTACCAGATATGATTTTTTCTAATGATTCACATATTTCTGATGAAATTTCTTACAAATCTGGTGAAAATATTTCGGATGAACCTAATCATGATCAAAAACCTGATGTAGTTTTGATTGATGCTGATTTTTCTAATGATCCTTTGCTCTGCAATGACATTCTTAATAAATTTGAGGAAACCATTTCAAAAGAATCAAATCTTGATGTCATATCAAATATTACTTGTCCTCTCAGTGCATTTGTTTCTTGTGGGGAACTTGTTCAGTGCGAAGCACGAGTATTAAATGAGCTCGATTCTGATTACAATTCATATAATTCCATATCAACTGTTGTTTGTCCTTATAATAAATTCACTTCCGATGTTTACTTTAGTCAAATTGAGAAAAATGTTTTAAGTGGAGCCACATTATTCATAACTTGGGGATATGAAGGTCTGACATTATTTCGTGGGGGAGGATAGTCTGAATGTCTATGGTCGAAATTCTAGGTAGCAGTAGTTTTAGTACTGAAGCGACATGATTATCGTACACAATCCTAGGAAGCAAGTGAGTCTGTTCCGATTTTGGTTGTTAATTCTAATACTAATGAGTGCATTCTAGATAATACAGAGTCTTTATCTAATACATTGTCGAACAGACACATTATGAACTTGAAAAAAAGACGTACAATTGATTACAGACACAGACTTCAATTTAAGCTGTGGCGGATGTGGTGTTTGAATGAACTAATAACCCCTTTGTACTTATTGAATGCCTGATTTCAAATTCTAGATACAATACATTCGTTCGTGCTTATCTAGTAGTTCTTGATCCACTTACGTGATTTCTGGGATTATTAGTTCATACTGTAATTCAAATACTTTTAATTATCATAGGTTTACATTTGTTTTGAGTAGCAGAAAAATAAACTTCAGCTTTAGTCTCTTCATGCAGCTTACAACTAAGTTAAAGCCTTCGGAACATAATGCAAAATCCTGTTTTCCTGTCGCTATTGAATACGAAATGTTTCATCACAAAGTTTATGGGTTTCGAAATCAAAAATATCGTTGATTCGGTTTCGGAAGAGTCAGGCTGTTTATTAAAGAATTACAATCGTACTTAAAGACGTGATGAAACAAAAGTGGTCATACGACTCGAAGTAACTGGTCATAATGACAAGCAAACGAGTTTGAAGTATCAGCTATGTAAAATAAAGTCATGTAAATATGCTTTACCTATACACCAAAGTGTCTTCAAAAGGATGAATACGTTTTGTGCGAAAATTTTGCAAACTAAACGGGTCATTTTCCAGTTAGAAAGGCAGAAGATAAGTCAGTTAAATGCTTAGGAATGTGACAGCGGTAACTGAAACCACTTTTAGATTGACGTCTCCTTTGACAAGTTAGGTTTTATCTTGTTAATCATTTATAATGACATCAAAGGCTTATAAATATTTCTTTCGTAAAATGAATGAGGTGACTCGGATGCCCTAAAAAAGGTGTAGAGGGAAACTGCCCGTGCAATTCCAGAACTCAAAAGTTTACCATACCAAGAGTGGCTTGGAAAGCTGGAACTCTTTACTCTGTCCTATCGAAGATAGAGACGAGATCTGATTTTGATGTATAGAATGCTAAGAAATTATTTTGAGCCTGGCACATCCTCTCTTTTTCTTTTCACTATATTGTGACATCTCAGAGGATATAGCAGGCGAATATGAAATCCTAGAACAAATAAATCACCCGTGGAAAACAGGTTTTCACACCGAGTCATCAATACTTGGAATCGGTTACCCGCAGCAATGGTGTCTGCACCTTAAATTGACTCGTTAAAGAGGAGGCTAGACACTCACAGAAGCATACCAGAAAAAATAACTGAAGCCGTAGGTATTCTGTCTTTACTACACAAATTTGAATCTGAATAAGAATACAACTGTATTAACAATCTGTTCGAGTAAATTCACAAAGGTCAATAAACTAAAACGCGCAAATTTTTCAAACTAACGTTTTCTACAGAAGACAACATTTTGTGCCAACTAGGCCAAATAAGTAGTTGAAGTCTTCACATATGCATTCTGGTTCGCTAAAAATAATTATGACCATACTATGAACTTTGATAAAGATATTACGCTAAAATTACCATATTGTTGGGAATGAACAAATATTAGATATAAAACGAATTAATATGCAATGTTTAATTACGAATTACTAACAAGAGAGTTACATTTTGTATTATGAAGGCCAGAAAGTTTCAAAGTAACTTTTGAAAACCTTCAAATATTTCAGTGGATTTATTTAACTTGTATCTTAAAAACCAGGCTCAGATTATTTGTTTGACATCCAAAATCGATTTCAACATGTATTTGATCTACATTACACCGAAGTGACCTTAATATTACTTGAAAACACTGCACTTAGTTATTTAACCAGAATATTATTTATCAACGCAGGAAGATAAACTAATTTACCTTCGAGTGAGTTCGATCATGAAGTTTGTCTGGACTTCTTAGGTTTATTACTGGTTCTGTATAGGATGGCTGACTAAACGAGCCTCGTAAACTTCTTTTGTACATGGATGACGACTACAATTCAAAACGACACAATATTAGTGTGAGGCATTATCGATGACCTAACTCGATTCATTAGCCAATATCTTTCTTCAACTGTGAAAAAATTGTTTAATTCGCTTTGCAATCTCAGTAAAAATTAATGATTGAAAACCCTTGCAATTACCTAAACACGATAATTAAGACTTTTGTCCACACATGTTTTTGTGGATTTGACAGTTATTTTAAAGTCAAGTCAATAATTTAATGATAAACCATCGTAAATTGGTCGCACTTTAGCCGTTAGATCTTGGATTTTAAAAAAATTAATGTCTACTTGATATTTTCAAGTTTTCTCCTACTGACTGTTAGTTATCTTTCGCTTATTCTATAGGCAGTGATAATCCCAAGCTTAAGCATCATGATAAAACCATCAACATAAATGGCTTCTTGATAGATCTATCCAGATTTTAGATTTGCAAACACCTCAGAACATTCTTCTTCTCGAGACGGAAAACTGATTTTGTATAGTGTAGTGAGGGTCATCGATTGGAGAATAATTTATTGGTCTTATGGTTTACTTCCCTATTTTTTACCAACATTACTTTTCATTAGTAAGTACATTTCTGTTCAGCACATAGATATAACAGTCATGGTACGCAGGTGCAACAACGAAAGTTCATTCAAAGCATTAACTTTGTAGTGTGATTTCAATGTAAATCGGAAGGTCACAGTATTTCTGTCTAATTGTATTAGACCATGAATATCTAATACATCATCTGCAGTGATGATAGAAAATTTAAAAATATAGTCAGAAAACAATGCGGATTGACAATCTTGTAAAATCTAATCTACTTTGTCTATAGTAGAACTCCAAACTGTATGTACATTTCAACAAATTTATTTGTATACATATATAATCGAGTTACGTTTAGTCACTGTGGCGTTTATTAATGTAAAACGATTATGGATAACAGAAGTGAACGTAGTGCGGATCTTGTCTCCACTAATTACGTCAGATCGTTAGTTGACTTGACAGTGGAAATATCAGTTGACCCTAGACGGTTTTGTTTCAACCACGTAAATTTGTGCTTAAACTCTAATACCTGATTGATCCGCGAAGCAAATAGCGTAGTAGGGCACTTTATTTTGTCGTTATTTAGATCCGACGATATTTCCACATATGTTCATAATGTGACAATGATGTAATAATGAGCATGTAGGGCCAGTGAAATTCCACTGAGCCCTAGCCTTTGAATATCGAACAAAATCATCAATCCTCGTCAATGTCAAGGACAACCAACGCGCATCAGTTAATTGTACGCCATGGACTGGCCCATGCGGCAGTGGTCTTACCTTCGCTTGTATCTACTTTAACTAATATATTTCTGTAATAACGTCCTCTGTGTTTTACAGTCTTCAAAGCATATATAGTACCTTGATACGTCAATGGGGTAATCTATGTAAGGTGCAGACCGCGAAGTGTGACTTCGACGTTAGCAAGTTTGTCACACCACTCACGTCTAACTCGAGTAAGCCTCCAATCATTTCGACATAGATCATCCACGCTGATGATCTACAAGCATATGATGATAACTTGAATCAAAATGAGACAATCCGACGAATGGATCAATGAGAATAGTTGACATGAGGACAGAATATCGATAACATTATGCGATTTGTGCATGTACATGTCGTGCTGCACAAGCTTTCCTGAGCGCGTCGGATTAGAAATTGAGCTGGATTCGTTGAGTTTGCTCGTCGAATGTATCAAGCGCAGAATTTTCTTCATTGACGTAGCTTGCTGCGTTACGTTCTACTTGAGTCATATTTTGACCTTGTTAATTATTCGCTTATCAATCTTGACTGTTTTTATATGGGCGCGTAGGTGCTTGTACACTTCTCATCCCATTGCTCATCACATGTCTGTAACTTATTTTTGTATGACTATAAATATTGATTAACGCTTGACCAAATGGGAGTTGGTTTATCCGCCATATCTACTGCGCATCGTTTCGCTTCATTCTGTTCCATTCGCTTCATATATAAAATATATGTATTCAAAAGTCCATCCTCGTTATTTGACTCATTTAATTCCGTTATTGATTATCGCAATTTAAGTCGATGATTATATACGAAGATAGGCAATTTATATATTTCGACGGCAATCATTCATACGATCTACTTGGAGTCAGATCTCAGGCCACTAAAGTGGAGAGCCCTTCGACGAACATCGTCCGATTTGAATGACAACAAAAAATAAGATCTCCAGCTAACGCCTGTGCTGCCCAAGTGGGTTTCAATGAAACTTTCGAACTGCTGGTTCATTGATTTATTCTTTTTACTTATCCGCATGTTGTGAATAAATCTTTTTTTAAAAATTACTTCTTTTTTTTCAGTAGTCGTTTCACAATCTATAAGCTCATCAACCTCGGCCGACGAACTATATATATTTTTCCTCATAAAACTTGTACCCTTCTATTTTATTTTCCTCGTGAACTTAATAATATTCTAGTGCATTTTTCATTCGTTCTTACTTGCTCTCATAGCCGCCTGAAAACAACAAGTTCTTTTTGTAGTGTAGCCATGCGATTATGACCGACAAAATCTCTTGAACATAGTTTGCGGCCGTGTGGGAAGAGCTTACTTAAAACTTGTTCCCTTTGTAGCTTTGAAGACATGGTTATTGTCTTATAATGACATTTGGTATCATGAATACTTGAGAAAGTCTTTTATTACTTACGCTTTCAGTTCAAGCTTTAGGTAAAGCATTTGGAGTCCGAGGATAACATGTACGATTTAAGGCTAAAGGAATGCTTCAGATAGTGATAAAAGCTTGTGATTTAGCTTATTTGAAGTCTTTGTATCACGAAGTATAATAAAATGTTGCACATGGTCCGTTAGATCACTATACTAAACAGGATAAAATGGGTCACGGTGCCAGAAGATATTTATTGATATGTTTGCGTGTCATTTTCTTGGTGATTTTCTTTTCCTCAAGGCCCGAACTGAGTGTACTGTTGATCGGTAACAAGGACATATGAGTGGTTTTCATAATTTTGGTCAATCATACACTGTTTTTATTGAAGTATATCTGAAATATTTAGCATATATTAGTGCCACGAAAACCTCAAGCTATCTTTATTTTCGCAAGTTAGCGTCAGTTTTTCCTTATAACGAAATCATCGTTTTCAATTCAGATTTTTGCACGACTTTGTTAATTTCTGATATGTTGTCACGTTCAACTTTCGAGCTTTTCCATGTGATGTATGCAAAAGCATGGATATAACTAATACAGTGTTGTTTTACTTTACTCTCGATACTATTTATGATCGAAATTTCTATGCATTCGTGCCCTCCTTTGAAAATCGAAGGCCAGGTATTTAAATTAAAGCGTATGTATGTTAGTTGCCATATAATGATGGTCGCGTCGGTTTCAATCAGTCGCAACAAGAAATTACTGTAGGCCTAATTCGAATAAAATCAAGACGCATTTGCCCTTTTTTCTGAAATGTTAATTAGGCCGAGTTCAGTAGTCTTAACCAGTAACCAATGTAATCATTTTTCCGAAAATGACTTTATGACGTTGCATTTTAGCGATATAGTAATTCACGTTTCATGTTGGTCTAGCTTACCTTTTCTGGGGCTTGCTTACAATTGTGGAATACATGTTCTCAAAGTATCTTCACCGCAGATTCCATGTAGTTTAACTCATCCACTGTCAGAACAGAAGACGTACATTTGATTTCATTACTTCTCGCTCGTCATTTTGTGGTTGATCTTCCAATTTAATAAGAGGTTGACGTCGTGTATTTTAGAATCATGGTCCAGCATGATGTTAGCTCTGCTCTAATAATGGACCTAATCCTAAAATGGAAGATTTGTCATGATGTTACTGCCTAATCTATAAGATCTTACGTGGAAGTCACATCGGTGTCTACACCGACTTATTCGTATCGTAACACTCACCATACATGATGGAGAAAAAGCTTAGACTAGAGGTAGAACAATATATTTAATATAAATAAAAGATTCAAGATAACATTCAACAGCGACCACGCCTGCGAGGCCGAGCCATGACATATGATTCAATTCATTCTTCCAGCCTTCTCCGTCATTGCGTTTTTACCCGAGTCAGATGTTTAATATCTATTTTCGCAGTCGTCTCGTGTTCAGCTTTGAGGATTATGTGGTTTTGGCTCAATGCCACTAGATATTCTCCGGAAAATAATCCTTATTTTTGACTTACTCGTCTCCTAAGAAGTTATGATGTTATTAAAACATTACTGGCTACAATGACATCATTTTCATCACAGATGACTAACTGCCAAATTTTAAATAATCTGGGGAACTTAGTCATATCCTTTCAGCTGCACTTCACTATGCTGGCACATGAGTTACCTAAGTGTTTTTTGCACAGCCCTATCTTATATATCTCTATATGAAATACTTAAGTGATGAGGTTCTACACGTTATATAATTGCTCTGTAGAAGCAAGTGCACGATGAAAACGAGCACGGGAAAAACGTCAGGCTTTTTCGAAGCTGCCCACCGTTTCGTCTCAACGACGTTCATTCCGTATTCCACTTGCTGTGGATTTGTTGTGTTACGTGAGTACTAGGCTTTTTCATATTTAATTCGTCTTTTGTTGCATTTAAAAGCACAAAATAACTGCCAAAAGCCTTAATTTAACATTCTTTGTTTTGTAGTGTAAACGTCGGCTCTGTTGTTGCTTCTTAACTCGATCTGTGATGCCAACTGTTGTATAAACCTCAACGGAAAATCAAGTCACTGACAAGTCTTAAATATTTGTGGTACTTCCTTCAGTTATTATTGTTTCAAGGAATAACTTTTTTTATAACTAATGATTGCTGTTTGTAATGCTTCGTGTTCAAGTGACATTTCAGTCGACGTAAGCAATGCTCTTCAACGTATAATACTGAAAAAGCGTTTCGCAAGTTGGATTGCCTTTGATAGCGCGCTAAAGGAGTGTCGAAAATAATGGAAGAATAATTTTATCCCTTCTTAGACTACCCATACACATTATATTCACACAGAAAGCAAAT